GGGACTAATAATAATAATAATAATTTGATTCGAAGTCTACTACGTAGACCCTGAAACGATCACTATGTCGTGTACATTGTGGTTGGGGACTCGATAGTTGTCTCGTCTGTACTATGAACACCCAGCGATAGGTCGTCGTGTACGCGCAGTATTCTGGATGAACATCAGATAAAATGACACCAGTAGAAAACATCAAGTTTATAGAGTAAATGAAGACAACATGAAGTAAATATAGCCACTTTAACCAATCGGTGGTTAAAAACACCACAAGGACAAATGTAAAGTTACCCAAAACAAATAAACTAGTGCGAACATTTTCATGAAACAGACAGCTAACAAAAACCGCTAGCTAACTTTTCACAACGAAAACTACGTCCTACGTATGAGCTGAACCAACCAGCAAGTCCGAATACAACGACAAGAATACGACTATTTGTTTGCAGAATGCTAAAAAAGAGGAAGCAATGGGTGAGTGAAAAACACTCTTAACTTGCTTTGTACAACAACACAGAACTCATATCACACAATTTATTGGCTACTGAAAATTGACTAAACATCACTATGAAAAAATTCCCATAATTACCAATAAATAAAAGGGCTACACAAAAAGCCAATGAAGTAGCAGTTTGTGATATTTACTGCTGGCCAGTAACATCGATAACCTTTCAATATCCAGTTGCCAAAAAAGATGGATTCAAGCTTCATTTCGTGACTCAGTGAACTGCAGTTGCATCCACTGAAGAGATTTTGCCAACTGAATTCATTGGTCAGTAGGAATCCAGTTACAGATAATCAGCAAGCACATAATAATTCCCCAAGAATGTCCTGGGATTATGACTACAAAGTCATACGATAGAACAAAAAGCATCAATTTCAGTGGGTATGATAGTTTATTGTATGCTAAGAATCAGGCAACAAGAAGCTCTGAGCTGAGGTTTCCAGAATCTTGACATTCACTTACGAGGTATATTTGAGATCTTGAGAAAACTCGTGTTTTCTCAGAGACTTAGACCTGTATCACGTATTGCTGAGGTCGACGATTTTTCTACCAAACTACTCAGGTCATGATAGCCCCTGAAGACTTGGATGGAATGCATGAATTGCTCGTCATTAAGCAATAATCGATGTAGCCACCGACTAGTAATTAGTTTTCCATGGAACCTGAAAGTCCTGGGTCCGACCCCTAGGGGGGCGGGGTCATGGGTGCGTGCTGCTGAGGAGTCCTGTATAAGGACGAAACAGCTCTCTAGTGCTCTCAGGTTTCCGATGTTTCTACTTGTGTCAGTTCATGACGTATGCCAACCTGGACGGACTTAGATTAGAAAGATTACCTAGTCTAATGAACCAATTCAAACAATTTGTTACACCATTGAAAAGTGGTGCGATAGAAAGCTATAGCGCCCATTAGTACAGAAAACTGCCTCTGCATCTGGCTGACGTAAGATTGTGCCTGTCATCTAATGAGGACGTAGTGCCAAAATGTATAAATCTTCTAAGAAAAAACATCGAAAACCAAGTAGTCTCAATTACTCATTGTGTTCTATATGTTAATGAAAGTTTCTGCAATATTATGTTTCTCCTTGGTAATTTATACTTAGATTTATTCCTAACAGGCTTGTTTGGTGGATCAATGTATATCTGTTGGAGTTTAGACAGAAAATGCAATCCTACTAAAATTTCAAAATCTGAATATGAGGGGCCGAATGAAGGTGGTTGCACCTGTGTCTGAGCATGGCACAATTCAACCCAAACGAAACTTGAGAAATGCTTCCCATTTAAGACTTAAGAACAATAGAGGAAGAATTACACAAAGTCTTGGTCAACCAAAGATTCCTAATCTACTTTCTGCAACTGCTTTCTCTGTTTATGCATCAGATTGTGAGTTGGAAATTATCTCCACTTTGCATGGTAGAACTGAGAAAGAATACTTAAGTAGCATAAGCTATGAAACGGAGGATGATTATGATACCTGACAACGTAAATCTGAGCTACAAAGCACTAGCTGTCAAACTATACGTCGTAACAATCAGAAAAAAAATCGACAGAACTTCTGCAGAACCGCGAAAAAGGCATAGACGGTTGGCTTCTGCTTATAAACCCCTCCCACCTTTGGCTGAGTCCAATCAGCTTTTACTAGACTGATTCTTTCAGGACCAGCCTAACGAAGCCTTAGAAATGTATATGCTGAATTTTAAAGAACTGAACATCGAAAACTCCGACAACTACATTTGCACCTAGCACCATGATGAAGGCGTTAATTTTTATTCAATCTTCATAGTACTGTAAATAACCAGTTTCTCTCTCGCTTCATTTTCCTGATCAATGAAACCTTTCTCACTTATATACTACCCCATTATGTTTTGAGTAAACTATGCGTAAACTGCCACTATCCGCTTAGACTTCAATCATCATACGCTTATGTTATACTGAGCTTGTGTGTGTGTGTGTTTGTGTATTTATGCGGCAAGTTTTTAGTTTCCTAGTATCATGTACATTCAATTTCAAATGAAGCACATATGACTGTTGTATACTTACACTTCATTGCCCTTTGTTTTCCCATTTACTCATTTAATTTGCAATCGATTGTTTTTAAACACTTGTGATGGATAGAAAAACTTTCAGTCGTCACACCATCCTGATTGAACTAGAGTTTGTCAGCCTTTACTATTCATGAACAAAGTTCATTTGCAATTTTAATGGAATTCGTGTTATCGAATATTGAAGCTACCACTCAGAACTAAAGTCAGAGGTTTCACCACAAAATATTAGGCCAAACACAATAACGGATCTACTTTATAATTATTGTGCAGCGAAACACATTCAAACTTGTACGATCATGGTTCATGACTTGTCTATGCTGTAACATATTTGATAAATTTCTTTTTTTCCCTAGCTGTCTGTTTACACTAGGGGATCTGTAACACTGTTTCTGAGGAAATGGGTCATAATGTAAAGAAAAGTAGTTTGAAGCACGCCAAAAGTGTGTATACTCCTTTGATTATGTAGATCTTCCATGGTTTGGCCTTTCTAGATATATGAAATGTGTGGAATATATCAATGTCGATCAGTAGTTTAAGAGAAGTGTATGCGAGTGCTACTAACTGGTACATATGAACCTTGTAATATAAAGTCTCGAGTAAAATATTTTACTAACTTTTATCACTTAGCTGAGCATAAAACAGTCAATTAAATGTGATGTGTATATAACTTGTAGTCGCTTGATTCTAAAGTACTTTGTTTAGGACGCACCTCTGACTACTATGCATTATTGGTGTTATGTTTGAAATCAATGTCGACTCTTTGTATGCGTATCTATACCATTAGTTAAGCTATGAGTTTCAGGTGGAGCTAAAATGAAACCGAATTCTAATTTACAAGATAATATAACTTTTTTTCGGTGTTGACCAGTTCAGAAACTGATTCCAAAACGTCCTGCTGACTGACTCCTAACATCGAAATTTCATTCAACAACTATATGACGACCCTACAAGCCACGTAATTCACAATGGGAAGCTCAGTGATGCTTTTGAAGTGAAGACAGGAGTAAGACAAGGCTGTCTACCATCATCGATCATCTTCCTGATTGTGGTGGATTAGATCATGCAGCAAACAGTGAGGAGTGAGAAGAGGGGGATACGCTGGACCACGGAAAAGAACCTAGAAGATTTGGATTTTGCCCATGATGATGATTTATGTCCAATGCCTTGTCACACAAACTTGAAGATCTACAGGAGAAAACTAACAGGTTGACAGAACACGCAGGGCAGCGAAGACGGGACTTCAAGTGAACGTAAAGAAGATAGAAGTGATGAAGATACCCAACCAACACAACAACAACAACAACAAGTTCCAATCGCCACGGACGGGAGAATTTAAAGGAAGTAGCCTCTTTCACCTATCTAAACAGCATCGTTTCGACTGAAGTCAGAGGCACAGACGAGGACGTCAAAGTCAGCCAGGATCGGAAAGACAGCAAGACAGGCGTTCATTAGCCTGAAACCAGTGTGGAGATCTTCTGCACTCAACGTAAAACGTGAACAAGATCCGCATTTTCAACACTAATTCAGTCAAGTCAGTGCTTCTATACGATTCAGAGACTTAGCGCGTAACGATAAGCATTTCCAAAAACTACAGACATTCATCAACAATTGCCTACGCTGGCTCGTTACTGAAGCTCAGATGGCGAGAAAGAATAAGCAACAAGGAACTCACTCTGGCTGTCTGACAACGAACCAACCAAGAACCTATCGCTCAACAAATGTGCAGAAGGAAATGCAGATGGACTAGACATACACTGAGGTGACCATTCAAGGACATCACACGCCAAGCGAGGCTGTCGAGTGGAACCCCGATGGAAACGACGGGTTGGGCATCCGAGGTTGACATGGAGGAGATCGTGTGAGTAAGAAATGAGAGCTTCTGGGCAGCTGTGGAGTCAGGTTCAAAATATCACAGAGAACCGAGTGCACTGAAGGCGTGCCACTGAAGCCCTATGTTCCACTAGGAACCCAAGGGATAAATATAATAAATAGCTAATGATCAAGATATTATCACTTCGAAACTAGATTTTCTTTTTGAAATGAAAGGTTGTCAACGAAGAAATAGATGTAACTTTTCATTAAAGGGGACAATATCAATCATACCTTTTCAGAAAGACAGAAGTCATTCATATCGATCCAATGTATATTACAGTATTTGTATCATCTTTAAAAAATACTACTAGTATTATTCTTTGACTTTTTATCTGAATTAAAATAAGGCGAACATTTACAAAAGATAGATAAAAGAAACATATCCTATCTAATTTGCATGTATACATATTTCGTTGTTATAAAAAAATAGTAGGATTTCTGGTTTCATTATCTGAAAGACTTGATGTGTTGTTCAGTCTTCATTTCGTTTAGAGAATATTGATTGGAAGGTTTTACGGAAAAAAAAGAACGTGAATCACTCAGACTTAATGACTTTTTCTAACTCTAACACGCAAAATATTTACAATATTAGGATCGATGAAATATTGGACTCCCAGTGAATGCTGTTAAACCTTCACCAATATTACTTAATAATTTATTACGATTTGAACTTGATGTACCAGCACTGGGACTAGCTTCTTTCTTAACACATTGTGTTGTTTCTTCAACCTGATAAGATAAGAAAGGTGAATTAATTACTTATAAAGAAACGATATAATGTATCTTGAAAATCTATTCACAATTACGTGGTAAGGATTTACTTACTTACTCTGTGCATGAATCGAAATAAAATACATTCGGTTAGAAATGGTGTCAAGTTTGGGTTTTTGACACTGGCAACTTTAAGGGAAAGTGGATTAACGGTAAACTTTACTAACCGGAGTGCTAACACCTAATCGTCTTACGTACTTATCTTACTTTGTATCACTGTTCAAATAAATGATTGGGTTTCTTACTTCCGTATACATTTGCTTAGGTAGGTGTACTACAAGGTAAATAGTAAAAGAAAAGTTCGGATAAAAACAAGTTCCACTAATTGCTGCTGAATTAACCTTATAGAGAGGATTAGTGTAACAACAACGGTGCAGTGAAATGGTTTATAATCATTTTCATAAATTTGTTCAAGGAAGTTGGTATTAATTCCCTTTCGACACGTGGAAAGCTCAGACATTTGCATAACGTTTCTTAATAAAAGAGAAAAAAAAACTTCCGGCCTTTCATATAGACAAGATCAATGTAGGACTAAACATTACTGCCACACTTGATATCCATACTTCAAGCGAGAAAGCACTAAGATGAAGTATAAAAAGAAGAACCGGTCAAAAAAAGTAAAAGGGAAATAAAAATAATACTGAATTCAGTATGATAATCGAGATGATTATAGTGTGTGGATAAATTTGTGCAACTAGTCTCCAACTACTAGTTGCTGTTGTCACATGGACCCAAACCGAGAAGCCTACATTTCTCTACACGGTTTAGCCTAACAGTCAAAGACTTCATGCAATGATTCCACGTTTTGAGTCTGGTCGCCTTTAACCAACAGCAGCCTAAACCGACTTCAACTGACATTGTTCAACATATGAGATAGTGGCTAAGCATACGTTAACATATGTCCCAGCCAACTCAGATGATGAAGTTTCAGAGCCTCATCAACTGACTTTCCTCTCTTCCCTAAAACTCTACACCTGACTTTTGCGCTACTCACTTGGCGATACCACGACACATAGCTTGTGCTGCGAAGGCAACGTTGGTTAAATACTTGAAGCCTTCTCATGTTCTCGACATCTAATGGTCATCTTTAACATCTGCGGAGCAGTAAAGTCGAACGTCGATACATAGATAGTTGGACATCGTGATGGTGCCACAGACAGTGTAGGTTAATGAAAGTCAAGTGGGTCTATGGCATGCATAGAGAGATTTCGCCGGCCACTGACCCATCAAGGCTGATCTGACTCCTCGGTTAAGTAAAGCAGTCATCCCGCTCAACTACTCCACTCCCTATCGTTAAACAGGGCCCAAGTGAAGACCAGTTCTGGAGACACGATTTGAATTTGGGTGATGATAAATGCATCCCAAACATTATCAAACTCCCACTCAAGCAGTTCAGGAAACTTTTTATCTTGTCAGCATCTTCACGTAATTTCCTGCGTACTCTAAATCTGCCAAGGGTTCTTCTGTGAAGTCAGATGGTGAAATGTGGACCTCCATAAGTACGTCTGTGATAAAAATGAATTAGAGTCGAGAGAGTGAACATCCTTGACGGACACCAATCGACTTACACGACTCACGTTAGACTGTAACATACTCACAGCTTTCCGAGTAAAGAGGCCTCATAGAGTGACGTACTTACTCGGTACCCGTCTCAGTGAGAGACAGTGTCTTAAAATCTCTTGATCGACAAGGTTGAACGCTGCCCTCAGGTCGAGAAATATAGCCAGTGCCGGGCGTCCATAATTTTGCCTGTGTTCCAGAACTTAGTGGACGGTCTGGTCGACACACCCATGGCCAGGTTTGAAGAGTGCTTGACTTTCTCGCGTTTGCTGTTTCTCAGCTCCACTCGGACGTCTAATTATCATAAAACCTAGAATCTTAGACTCTACGTTCTTCAGGCTGATTCCCTTGTGGTTATCACAAGAGGACGTCTTAATCTTTTTGAAGACCGGAAGCATCAGTGATTGATACTAGTTAAAGGGGATCATGCCTGACTTCTATAAACCAGTTAGTACCTCAGTTAACGTGACCACCAGTGTCCTTACGTACCTCAGGAACTAGTCCATCTGGTCGTGCTACTCTTCCTAGTTTCAGGTTACCTACAGGTTTCTCGACTTCTGCAAGTGCCCGGGGTATCCTATCACGATGGTCGGTTCACCGACCTGACTGGGTATCAGGGCGCGGGATAGTAACTGCAGGCCAGTTGAACTACTTCTTGAAGTATCCTGCAAAACGTTCTAGTCATCTCCCTTGCGGGTGAATCACAGATCCACTAAAGTCTCACCAACCACTGACCTTTTCGCCCGTTTCCTTAATAAGTCTAAATAACTGTACACTGTTACCTATCACCGTCGCCGTTTCCAACTGTTTAAATTTCGATACCCACAACTGTTCACGGTCATTGTTTTTAGTTTTGACCAGTCTACATTCGAGTTGCTTCCGTTCTTCATTGTGCTCGGAGGCTGCAAGGATACGTCCATGTACATCCGTTAATTCAGAAGAAGCTAATGAGATCCATCGGCTCTTTCTAACCACTCTCCGAAAGTCGGCTAAGGTTTTCAAAGCTGTTTTTACAGCAGAGTGGAGATGGCTCTAGGCCTCTTCTAAATGAATGATATTGTACAGTTCCGATAAGTGTCTAGATAGTCTTTCATTGAAAGCAGCCTTAGTTCTCTCATTACTGAGCTGCGGTTGAAATGGTCTTTTTGTTTCAGTGTTCCTACTAGGTGCAGACAAAGGTGCTGGAGCCAACACTTGATCTTTGCTTAGCACGTGCACCAGAAGGGCGGGGGCTATCTTCCATCGACTGCCTAAGGACTCTACTGCCTGATTTAGCCTTCCCACTTTTGCATTGTAATCACCAGCTACAACAGACATGTTTGAACGTTTGGTTTTCAGTTGGAGGCTAGACAGTTTTCGGTAGTACTCATTCAAAATGAAGCCAGTTGGTTAGTAAACAGAGATCACAAATAGACAACAGCGAGTTGCATTACCTTTCTTAGCCTCCATTGTGGCGTTCAGCTAAACAGAGCATAGGTGACTATCAGTCGGGATCCAATCGAGCAGCACACTTTTTACCCTACTACTTGATGCTACCCCTAAAATACCACGAGAACGAGCCACTGATTCTCCAGAAACTCGAAGAGTGAATCTTGTGGATTCAACGCACTGACCGCGTGAAATAAAGTGGATAACTGCACTTGGGCCTTGTATATATGTCTCATAAGCGCGACAGGCATCTATGACTTGCGATGCCAGAGGTTTGACTAACGAAGCTTATAGACCGATTGGACGGAGGATGTAGATATTGAAAGCTTGGATATATTGTTTGAAGCATACAGTTTTAGGAGACTAAGGATGCTGTCCCGTTAAGTCGAATGACTATCATTAGCTGTAGAGCTGGGGAAAGTTATAAGTGAAGTAGAAATGTTAACCGAGAGACGTGAAGGAAGATTGGTCGGTGGATACTGATCTGAGGGAGACTGAGTGCTGACAGAGTTGTGAGTCCGTTTTACACTTCTCAATTAGGTACTCCGTGAGAGGCTAGAGTGTTTTAAGGTAACTAAGGGAGAAACTCAGTTAATAACAGTGTTCCATAAGCACTCAACCGAAGAAACTGTGCTTGAAAACGGTCAAGGGCTTTTGGGGAGTTTCTTGTGTTTGTTCTTTTTTCGTGTAAATGGGACCAAAACCCGTGTCACCGGCAGTGGTATGCGGTGAGGTAGAGGGGAGTGTGTTGTATTAAGGATTGGTTTTTCGTAACCAAGCTTTCATATAGGGTAGGCAGGCAGCATCAGTATGGCACTGTTGGTTATTCCCGTTACACCTCCTTTCAGTCGGCGATACAACTTTGCCATTAAACTGGTATCATAGCGTAGCAAATTACAGTATAACGGTTACTACTTTTTGTCCTACCGCTATCCAAACGAACAAGTGTTTCACCAGGATTTCTCATTGATTTATTGTGAAGCGTAGGGCCTATCATCGCGTTAAGATAATACGTAACAATCTGGTTACCAATATTCTAAACGATTTTCATAATAAAAATTATCATTACCCAGTTGATATATAATGCAGTACTGATTTTCATCATCACTAACCCTTCATATTATCCCTAATTATGCAGCTTATCTACCCTTTTCAAGTTTCTTTACTAGGATATTAGTCACACAGTGTGTAATGGCTTATGATAGTACCTAGTTGTCGCGGCTAAATTATGTAGAAGAGGGTTTGCAGCCAAGTCGGGTGCTTGAATAAATGACTCATAGCTTCTGACCTACTGGCATATAATGTATGCAATAGCATTATTCATATTTTGTCAGTTCGTGGTTCGTATGAGTATTTTGCTTTCGATAGATTCAGTGGTCACCATAAGTCCATTTCGCTCATAACTACCTCACCAATTTTCTTGATGCGAAGAAATTCAGTGATGACTGCCTTCAGTTCAGTCAAGAGTAAGAGCAAATTTTAACAAAAAGTTGTATGGCAGTTCTGTATCACAAAATGACTGGCTCCCAGTTTAACGGGTGATCATAAGACCTAAATGTTTCATCTTGGATGCACACCGGTGACAGCTTTCGGACTAGTAAAAGCAACAGTTTTGCATTTTCTGGTTTTCAGTGTTTCTTCTGTTAGTGTCAATTTATGATAAGAAGTAGTGGTTAAAGTATTTATTGATACAAAGTAACATTTAACCAGTACTTGAAAAAACTAACCTGGATCCTTTGAACTACTGTCTGATATACGATAGTGTTCAATACATTTTTGATAGGCCTTGTAACTCGAAGGCACTGAAAATCTTCTACATGAAAACAAACGATAAATAAATTACGTTAGAAAAGTTAATGATCAGTGATATTTTTCAATCTTTCTATTCTGAAATGTCTGAAACTAGTGTACGAAGATTTCAGCAACTGGTGGCATACTTCTATGTAAATGTGGGTTATTCCTACAAGATGAATAGTCTTGCCCATATTTTTCGTGTATGTATTAGGTACTCTAACCATCTTGATCACGAGAAGTTAACAATTTCAACATCTTGTAGTATCGGGTTGGCATATGCTTACCGAATTCTATGTATTTTGCACTGAGATTTTATCAGTTATTACCCCCATGGAGATTGCAGATACTAAGCTTACGCATAACCTGAAAAACAGTCCAGTCTCAAAGCTTTATCTTTCAAATGTAAGAAGGAAAATCCTTTAGCTTTCTCATATTTTATCTCAAGGTATTCATGAGACAACTTTTTACGGTGTGTCAGGTCACACAAAAATGTCATCTTCGTTTAAACAACCTCAGAGTAAGTGAGTGATATGCTTTCTCTGGAAGAACTTACTCAGGGATCAAACGTTGACGTCAACCGATAATGAATATTTTATCTCTTTAATTCTGAAAGCTTAGTAGTTTTTTTATTGGAGCTTAAGTGTTGTAAGTTCTTTCAAAATGTCACAGTAACCTCTGGGCAGACAAACAGAAGACACTGTGAGCCACATATCGAATAACTATGTGGTATAAGTATGCTTGAGCTTATGGTTCATGAAGATATTGTTCATTGGTCTAGGCAACCGACATTCAACCACCAGTAAATCAAAAGTTCGAATCTCCTACCGAGGATTTGACAGTCAGATAGTATCAATAACCTTCGGACATTAGGTGTTCACAGCACATGAGCATACATGTAGTTGTTGATGGTTATTTATCGTGTCTTTTTTTATCTTGTGTTCAACATTAACTGATTATGAGGTCAACTTCACTATCACGTTTGTCTCACTATTCAATTTCAATAGTGATATTTCTAAAAAGATACGTAGAGTGATGTAGTTCACTAACTATTTCTGGCATAATGCATTTTTTCCCATGAACAGAACTGCCAGTGCACTTCAAACTCATCTTAAAACAGTTTCCTATTGATACTTTTAGTAGATCTGGCTTTATTGCGTTCATGAGAAAATATCACCTTGATGATATCTGAATCATTTTGATGATGTTGTGTTCTCTGGACTGGATGGTTTGATCGTGGAGCTTTCACTGTCATCCTAGACAACATCATTAGGATAAACTTCAGAAAGAAATGAGCTATCGGGTTTTCTCCACAAGTGCCTTAGTAACTTGTCCTGATGGCCTTGTGTGTGACTGGTTGTTTCTGCCAAAGTCTTGTCATTGTCTCCAGAATTATTTTCATTGGTTGTCCTGCTGTTGTGAACTTTGATCTTCCTATTCTTCCTCATTGATTGATAGACTAGGTCAATTTCAATGTATCTGTTGATCGCTGACTGAAGTGAATGCCTAGCTTCTAAAATCCCTCTGATATTCTTTGTATTTACTCTATCCAGGATTTCCCCATTTTCCCATTCAAATTCATGTCAACAATGATATGAGGGGAGATACATCATTAAGCTTCACTGCTAGTTGGTGTTCATGTAGACGAATACGAAGAGACCGACTATTCTGTTCAATGCAGTGTTTTACGCACTTTGTGCAGTTTGTTTTGTAGATAACGTTTGGCTTGTTGTGATCTTGGAGAGGTTCTAGAGCGTTTTTAGCTGAATTTTCACCACCTATGGATGAGACAGTTTTAGTTTAAACAGGATCCCGTATGTTACCAACTATTATCAACCAAACCAACTGTATAGTCTTAACTTCAAATAAAAATACGTCAGCTGTACCTTCTTCAGTCACATTCACCTACATAGAGAACGGAATTCTGCTGCTCTCTGATTTACTTAGCTCATTCAGAATATATTTTTGATTTCTCGATGAATATAAAACCAAAAGAATTTTTACAAATACAACAATTTTAGAATCTGTTGTGACGCATTTAAAGAGTGAGATGTTTTGTCTCTGATTATGAAAGTGGGCCTTAGTACCAACGTCAAATAACTTGACATACAAGAAACTCACTTTAACAATCACCGAAAGACATTTTAACTGGTGTGGATGTAACGAAACACTTTTACGTTGAATAAGCCAGTCGTAGATAACTTTCATTTGGCGTGTATACCATGTCTAAAAGTTAAACAGGAATGACATGAAATCCGTTTTATCTCTGATAACATATAAAGACTTTTCTTATTCATAAACACGACTATATTTTATGTCGCACGCATTTTATCAGAGGAAACAATCCACTGAACTAGTTGGTTAGAATTAGCTGTTTATGCATCCATTTTATTTTTACTGTCTTGGCTGTATGAAGTGTATTCACTGCATATCAGTTAATGGAAATTCATTTAGCATTTGATGAATAGTTTGTGTACACAGTCCAATCATCCTGTATGACACAGGCAGTTGTAGTAGTCTAACGAAGTTGTCTCAATGCAAGATGTTAAACACAGTTGGATTGAATGTTATCAAGTATATGAGTTCCCCTAAGTTGTAAGTATACTCGACAAATTTGTAACTATAGTCGCTGGAGAGTGTCTATTGAGTATCGCCAATAATCTAACATTGAGAAGTAAGTCACTGATTTAGTTTGTCATAAATGCTGTATTTCTCCAAGATAACTTTATTCATGAACTGATATCAAATGAGCAGCTATGGGCGCATATAAAACTGGATTCAAGACCTTCTTATCTTGTAGATTCATTGTACCCTTGTATAGTTAGTTGAGAATTCGGTGGTTTATGAATGTCAACCGTAAAAATTCAATAATATATGGAGTTATGGTCCATTAGTTTGCATATCTGACTTTCAACCAATAGGTTACTGGTTGATTCAAACCTCACATACTATATTTTACGACATCCAGGTAATATTGTTACCCTTCAAACAATAAGATATGACTGATTGCCCATTGCACAAAGGTGCATGTAGTTACAAAGTTGAGTTTCAATTTTCTTCCAATCAGTGATATGAATTGACACTTAACTAATACTATCAGTACTTATTTCAAACTTGATTTATCCTACAATAATATATTCTATTTTAAACACTGGAAATTACTACTTGAGAACTAGAAAAACTCTTATTGTTTATTTTTCGTAATTCTTAGAGTGAAATAAAACCAGGAAAATTTAAAAAAGACAATGAGGATCAAAGTCACTTAGTGACTCAGTTCAGTAAAAAAAGAATTAGTGTAACGTTATGGTAATGTGATATGATGCAGGAAAGTATGACAGTTGAAGGTAGCCCTATTGGTGTATTCGAACGTTTGCTAAACAATCAGTCCCACTAACTCCCTTTAAATGTTTAATATAAGACTCAGGGATAAGTGAATAGGCATCTGTACAATTATGAAACTGTTAATCAAAAAACTTTTATCACCACTTATCTAAAAGCTCGAAAGCTCTGCACCAGTAGTTTTTCTTTATGCTTTATTTTAGGCACCAGCACTTACTAGTGAATTAAAAGGTCATCAATTTGAAACTAGCTTTGATTACGGATTGATGTAAGGTGAAGAACTAATGAGAACATGGGAGAAGTGGACAGTTGTCCCGTCCCAGTATGGGACCTCTCACCAGTGCGCATACATGATCCATAAAAGATCGACTCATGTCTCACGGCGGGTGCGTTGTTATTCAGACACTGAGTTGGAATGCAATAGTCATTTATTCCATACTTCTGTCAATTTGAAATACAGTGTGACTATAATAGAACATCATCGAACGGTATCCCTCTCCCCCTTGCCAAGCCTTCCGAAGATCCATCTCGAAACATATCACTAATGAGCACTAGATGGTCAGTCAGTTAATGGTTTGAAGATTTAAAAAATGGTTTCATCACGAATTGAAACTGGTTTGAATGATAATCCACTTGCCATGAGACGTGACATTCATAGAATCACATGGTTTTGAGTACGCTGTTGTGAATCGTCCTAAGCTAGGATGAAGCACCTGTCCGGTACACCGAGAACTATGAGGGTTCTCCAACTGATGTTAGCTTGTGATGGAAACTACTTCTAAGTCAACAAATTTCTATAATCCATCAAGCACACGTTTTACTGTGTAAAAACTTACTTCCAACATAGAAAGCATAGAAACTTCATCAAATAAATTTTCGCTTAAACTCTGCAAGTTTGTATGAAGAAAGATGCATAGGCTTGACCTTCTTCATCATTAGGTTTCTATTTATAAAAAAAAAGTGAGAAGGGAAATCAATGAAAATCAATCACTTCTAAGTCTAATGATGAAACCGTTTGATAGAAGTAGTTAAACTGGTATTGTTTGCTAATAATGAACCCAAATGAATCATTCTGAATTTATGAGGTAATAAATACATAATAGGAATCTTAGAGGGAAGCAAATTGATACAGAACGAGATAAAGATGAAAATCAGCTAAGAGATAAGAAACACCATGACTACTTAAGTGAAATCACTGACGAATATTCTTCCATGCATAGATTTCACAAGAACATGGTCATATGAGTACCAATGCATATTTCGTTCACTTTATTTTCTGTCAGTATCGGTTTTCCTCGGAACATTTTGATTCGAAAACTAAACGATTACTAGCCTGGTCATTGAAAGTGGGTTGATGAAGGTAAACTTATGCTACTCAATAACAAATGATTAGTTCAATAGGCTCTCCAAGTTAGACATGTGCACATGGGAACAAAAGGTGATAAGTTTTTCACCATAATGGTAAGTAACTATATTTTGGTACAACTTGAATTGTTAATTCCTGTATTCAGGTTTATTTGCTGTTTCTGACTAAGAGTCACTCCAGCAACAACTGAAATAACCAACTTGTCTACTACAAAGGCAGTTTTCTAATGAAATAACGAAACCTAGATGGATTTTTTAAGTATTCCTTAGAGTGACCTTCAGTGTCTCCCACTAAGTTGATCCAATTCTCATGCCCATGAATTCTTTTGGTTGCGTAACCCTTCAGTATGCATAAGTACTTCTGCATACGTTAATCATCTCTAGAACGCTAGGATTCTCATCTAACAAGAGATTAACTATCTATGACTCTGTTCTGCTTCTTGTTATTTTACTTCCCAGACTCCTTAGCTCATATACACCTAGAGGTTACTACTTTGCTTCTTACATTTCAAGAACAAGATATTCAGCGAAGAGACTCTTGTCAACGAATTTATTTTCAAGCTGTACAATCATATATATATGGTATTTGGAAAAAATTATATCCTGTGAGGAAAACTAAACACTATATGGTGATGACAATAATAATAGAGCGGGTGGTGACATAGGCATTTATGATTATAATAACAATTGAAGTGCGAATGATAACAAATAGATTATGTAATATATGGAATGGTACATAGAGAGTATATAACTCAGAAGGGGGTGAAAAAATTGTTGAAAATGGTAAATCAATTAAGTATTATGTAATGGCATTAGACAAATTGAACAAGATGAAGTCAATGTTTTCTAAAAGGATTAAGACAATTAAGTGAAACAACACCGGCAACTAGTTGAAGTGAAGGCGATTATAATAACAATAATAGTGATAAAGGAAGGATATGAAGGTTAAATTAACAGAGTGGGAGGGGGAGCTAAGGGGGTGGGAAAATGTTATGGCCATGATAAAGACAGTGACTGCACATACTTCTTTTGTACACACAGATCAGGTCTTAGTTCATGAATAGCTAAAGCCTCCGCTGTTTTAAGGAGTTGAAAACGAAGAGAACGTAAGAGGTTTGGGCAAATTTGATAAATAATTTCCAAGTCATCGTCTGGATTTGTTGTGTGATGGAAGTCAATCAAATGTTCTAGAATCGAACTTCTAACAGACTTTCTTTCACCTTTATAAAACCAAGAAGGAACATGTTCTCGTGGAGCAAGGTACATCGGCCGAAGCCAGAGAATGCTTTCTACACGTATACGAGAACATGTTCCTTCTTGGTTTTATAAAGGTGAAAGAAAGTCTGTTAGAAGTTCGATTCTAGAACATTTGATTGACTTCCATCACACAACAAATCCAGACGATGACTTGGAAATTATTTATCAAATTCGCCCAAACCTCCCACGTTCTCTTCGTTTTCAACTCCTTAAAACTCCTTGTACAGCTTGAAAATAAATTCGTCGAAAAGTGTCTCTTCGCTAAATATCTTACATTTCAGTTAGTTCAGTAATCCGTTGATTACATTTTTTATAACCCTAACCAAATATGTATGCCTGAATAAGAAAAAAAGCTGAGCTTAAAGTGATATTTTACGTTGCCTTTCGGGTGCATGATTTCAGCAAACTACTTTGGAAATTAATTATTATAACTTAAAACAATGTCTTAACAGTCAATATTATTGAAAACAAGATAATGTTGGTGCTTTTTGGAAAATAGTTGATGTCGAACTCAGAAGAGAGGCGTTACGCTTGTCAGCACTTATCCACAATTCTGTTCAACTTCGGTTTGGAGGTTTGTGGGTGTTTATTTATTGGTATCAGGTTGGTATTCATCACGGACTGACATCAGTTAGGAAACCATCGAGAACCTAGGAACACCGAGTAGCTATTTCCCCTAGTATGAGACTCCTCAACAGTAAGTATTAGTGGCCTCCCTCGCTATGGATCGAACCCAGGACCTTCAGGTTCCATAGCCAGTACGTTTCCATTGAGCCACTGGATCGGAATCCAGTAGCCCACAGGTCGCACCATATCATGAACTGACAGAAGTAGGAAATGTGTACCACTGGACTCCTAATAAGTGGATCAATAGGAAAGTGCTGGCCACGGAACCTGAGGTCTGGGCTCGATCGCTGGTAGGCGGGGTGCTCACTGCTAGAACAAAACAGCTGTCCAGTGCTGCCAAGTTTTCAATAGTTCTTCAACTGATATCAATCCGTGATGGATACCAGGCCGAAATTTGGTCAAATTCACTCCTCACCTGATATTTTTTTACAACAAGGGAAAATGCTAACCTGGGGAGACCTTATATTAGATATGATTTTCTAATATCAGAGCACATTAACAGGACCCATTGTATGACCTGATCAACATCACTGCTGCTGATCAGGTATCAAAAATATGTGAATTATCATCCAATGAGCATAATTTCCAACTGCTGATTGTATGTGCTATTATTTGAGCATAGTAGACATTGACTAGTCAATTACGTAATCAGTGAACAGAAAATAAATTATTCTGTTTACTAAAGCTTAACTACTCACTTTAATTTCTATGTGAGGCTAATTTATGATTCATGAATAAACTAAAAAACAATACAAATTATCAACTTACTGTTAGAATAAGAATTGAAGACAACAGCTTATGTTCATCAAATCTACTCAACTTCTTTAAAACACCATTTAAAATAGTCATAAATTGGTCAATAATGATAATCATCATGTTTCTTTGTACACTTTCAAAGAATTCTTGGGTCTCCATATGTAACTGACTCTGGGTAAAGAAAAGGTTGAGAAATGACAGTTAATATCAATATAAAATTCGGTAAATAAAAATCTTGTGTAAAATGAATAAAATATTATGACTCTTAATATAAGTGAAAAACTTGGGCACTGTGGTAGAATGTAGTTCCATATTAGATTTGCTTATTTGATATGAAGCGCACAGTGATACAGTATTATTTAATTGATTACGTTTCGAGCATAATTATTACTGCTCATAATCATATCAATGTAATCACACTTCTTTCGACATCTGATTTTATAGTCCTGTCACCTGATCTCTCTTTGTTTTTTTGTTTTTTGATTGGTAGTAAAGTTTTCCATATCTCTGGTATAGGTGTTGCGTCATTCCTATTACGTGTTGGGTGTGGATTCGATGAACAAAGATTCAGTAATTAATCTCTCTCTCCACCTAGCTATATTAGACTTAAGTACAGTGGTTTTGTCCCATCCTATTGTGTGGTTGTGTGTTAATGAATGTAATGCAATGGCTGTTTCAATTCCTTATTTAAGTCCTCACAATGACTAGTGAGTTTCCTAACTCTGTTATTTAGACATTTGACATTTGACACATAAAAGAAGTGTTAATAACTAATAACTATCCCCATCATTTTATTAAGAAATTCACACAGACACATAAGAAGCAAAATAATAACACTAATACAAATACAAATAATCGTGACAACATAAGTAGAAAGGAAATCAACACCTCTATTGTGATACCATACAAGGAAGGAACATCAGAAACCATACGTAGGATTCTCAACAAGGTTGGAATTAGGGTGGCATTTAAACCAACAAACTCACTTAGAGGTAAGCTGTGTCGGCTAAAAGATCCGATAGAACCAATTAAGCAAAATAATATAATCTACCAAATTCCATGTAATGACTGTGAAGTCAAATACATAGGTCAAACTAGCCGGTCGGGGTCAGTTAGATTAACAGAACATAGGAATTTAGCTAAACATAGAACGACAGACCCCAATAAGATCAATAGCCTAGAAAAACACTCAGCCATTGCATTACATTCATTAACACACAACCACACAATAGGATGGGACAAAACCACTGTACTTAAGTCTAATATAGCTAGGTGGAGAGAGAGATTAATTACTGAATCTTTGTTCATCGAATCCACACCCAACACATGTAATAGGAATGAAGCAACACCTATACCAGAGATATGGAAAACTTTACTACCAATCAAAAAACAAAAAAACAAAGAGAGATCAGGTGACAGGACTATAAAATCAGATGTCGAAAGAAGTGTGATTACATTGATATGATTATGAGCAATAATTTATGCTCGAAACGTAATCAAGTAAATAATACGGTATTATGACTCTTAACTGTGCAATAAAATCAACATGTTCCGAAATATACCAATAACAGCGAATGGGAAGTTTCAACTTGTGTATTATTTTTTTTCAAATACTTGGTGTAACGTGTAAACTGATAAATGATGGAGAATATTTGTAACTCAGGTGGATGGTTTTGGTTGTATTGTGTTCTCTGAACTGGGTTGTTTAATTGTGAAGCTTTCATCGCCTTGCTAGACGACATCATCAGCACTAACTTCAGTATGAAGTGAGTTGTCAATATCTCTCCGTGAGTGTTTTAGTAGCTTGCCTTGACGAAGTGGTCTATGGTTGGTTGTTTCCTTTAATTGTTGTGTCATTGATAATATAGATTTTCCTGTTGGCTGTTCCTCTGCTCCACCTCTCACCTTTCTGTCATTTATCATTTTTCTTATTGGTTGATAGATCGGTTCTATGTCTATACATCTATTGATTGCTGACTGACCCGAATGCCACCAAACTTTATCAGAAGATGCCTACCCCGTGCATCACCAACTTCAAAGTCATCGACAGAAATCAATAGACCCATAGTCCTACCATACATAAAGAATATATCAGAAATCACAACAACATTGCTGAGACCACTTGGAATTGCTGTGGCTCATAAACCAACAAATTCCCTCCAAACACTATTATGCAGACCAAAGGATGCAACAAACAAAGAAGATAAACCGAATATCATTTACAAAATCAACTGCAATAACTGTAGTCAACACTACATTGGACAAAGTGGTCTCCCTCTTCACCTTCGTCTACATGAGCACCAATTAGCTATTAAACGCCACGACATTTCATCACTCATTTCAATGCATGTGGATAACAACGATGGACATGAATTCAATTTCGACAATGCAGAAATTCTGGACAGAGGAAACACAAGAAATATCAGAGAATTCTTAGAAGCTTGGCATTCAGGTCAGTCAGTCAGCAATCAACAGATGTGTAGATATAGACCCGATCTATCAACCAATATGAAAGACGATAAACGACAGAAAGGTGAGAGGTGGAGCAGAGGAACAGCCAACAGGAAAATCTATATTATCAATGACACAACAATCAAAGGAAACAACCAACCATAGACCACTTCGTCAAGGCAAGCTACTAAAACACTCACGGAGAGATATTGACAACTCACTTCATACTGAAGTTAGTGCTGATGATGTCGTCTAGCAAGGCGATGAAAGCTTCACAATTAAACAACCCAGTTCAGAGAACACAATAAAACCAAAACTGGTAAACGTTTTATAAAAAGTAAGATGAGATAGCCGTTTCCGAATCAACTGAGTGGACGTTTGAAGACAGATTGAATCAACGTGGAACCTCGTACAGAAGTGTATTGTTTCAACTTGCCATACTTCACAGTAGCATGAAAGGAGCAAATGGATAGAAGAAGACAGACATCAAAGTAGACAAAAGTGTATAGGAGGCGAATAATTTGAAAACTGGAGGTTAGTGAAAATTTTCAAGCTTTAGAAGACGTCAAAGAGTGAAAACATCTGCTGCATTGTAACCCACTTTCGGCCATTCACCAAGAGTCATTAACAACTGACTCTTATGATCTCGGTGACCGTAACAAGGTAGTCTACACCGCTGATCTTGGGTGAGGCTTAAAGTCAAAGACTGCGTGAATTGTTACCACTTCTTGGTCTTGCCACTCTGATCCCTCCCTCTTCCAACCTAATCAAACTTAAATGTTGAGGTAGGCGGTATCTGGATATGCGCAACACATGTCTAAGCCACCATAGTCACTGAAGGTTCACTACCTCATAGACTGACTTGCCTATCTTGCTTATTACCATTCGCCTGACTTCGACATTGCTAAGATGGTGATTTTACGATACACGAGCAATGCTACAGAGACACCGATAGCCAGAAGCCTGAAATCTATTCTTCTATATGCGATAGCCATATCTTACAGTCATATAACTGGACACAATAGACTATAATTCAGTATACTCATCCTTTTACTGTGTAGTCAGATGTCTCTCCACTTGGCACCAGAGATAAAGCAAGTTGGTAAATGCCTAACGGGGTTTCTGTATTTGAGCTGAGATTTCGTATTTCTTAACACTAACTGTCTAAACGTAACACTTTTTCAGTTTCTGTCTTATTTCACTAAGTGAATAATATGAGTGTATTCAACTACATCGCATACTAAGGATTTAGTAACCACATCATTTCTTCTCGCCATCATTTTACCTAGAGGAATACCAACAGTTAACTTCAGTCAGTTTCAAATAACATTTTTTTGCTTTAAAAGTGTAAAACACAATTTGGAAATCCTATCAGCATTACAGTAAACAATCATCATACTGATATATATCATAGATGTTCACCGACGAAAATATAATGATTAGTTTGTCTGGTGTCAATCAGCCGGTAGCACTGTAAAGTTTTAAAGGTGAGGAGGTGAAATACTTTGATCAAAAGAACCTATAGACAAAGAAGTTGAATACAATTTATGGAATTCAATAAAGCCCATTTAGAGTAAGTTCATTCAGTCAATGATAAAAAATGTAGTAGATCACTTTCATGTTAAATTATCCCATTAGTTAATTGATTCTGTAACTTACAGATTCCAGTACTAGGAGACTTCAACTGAAGTGTCATTATCAGTTATGTCAATAAACTTTGATTTGTATTACAGACTAGAAAAATATGTCTATTTTTTGCACAGACTATACATGTATCATACAAAATGACTAATTAAACTGGTTCATACTAGTTTTTTAGGTGAATTTTAGAAGTCAGAAGCTATTATTCTGCACTACGGTTACTTTTCACATATCGCGTTCTTTAACACTCATCCTAATCGAAGGAAAACAGTAGCTTTGATTTCTTCAGAATACCATACAGAATAGATTCTTACACTAAAAGCTGCTAAAGTATAACCAAAGACTTAGCAGTATTTATGTAATATTATTCCTTGTATTATCCCATCGTTGACTAATTCAAATTGATCGGGTGCTACTGGCATACAGGCTCCTGAGTGGATTGCTTGATATTGCTGTCGTTTCAATTTTATATTAATGGTGGAAAGTTGCTAGCAGTGAAATCCAGGAAGCACGTTTCCTGCTCTTTGGGACCTAGTTTAAACAGCATCACTCACTGGGGGACAGGTGCATCTAACTGACGAGTCTCAAACTGAATGAAACGCGCGTCCTGGATTCTACTGCTAGCCATCACCCACCAATAATATTAGATATAACCCATTTTACAACAAGCTTTCTCTTTAGATATTCAATAATTGTGGGGTTTAAGAACAGTCTTCACTGAAGCATAATTAATCAGGAAGTATAAATTAGAGAGTAAGGTACTTGTTTAGCCATTACAGAGTGGTGTTCATCTAAACAAAAATCGCCTCAATTTTTATGCATCTCAGCACTTACTATTTCCTATCAACTTGATGGCTATTGAGTAAACTATAGGTTATCTAGCATCATAGTATAATAGGGAACTTTTTCATAGTCGTGTTAGAAACAGCAGGATACACCTATACATATGCCGTACTAGGGCCAACTTAAGCCAAGAAAAGATCATTTACCAATTTCAAAACTCACTTAACTTCTTTCAACCTGCTTTTTTTTTGGTTCCCCAAAATCTATACTTAAAATAAGGATAAGTAGATCCGAATAAAACAGTAGACCAATGATTCTGAAAAACTTCAGTTCAATGAAAGATTTAATAAATAATCTCGCTTTTGACACAATATCATAATTTAATCACAGAAAGAACCACCAACATAATAAGCAGTTAATCTACACAAAATCTTAGGTTGTCTACCAATAAAATTGAAGATAAACCATAAATTCAAACATTTTTCTCGATACTATTTGTTGATTGTTATAATTTCTCGTTTTTATAATGGGTCGAATTGATCGACCTAATGTTGATATATGAACTATTATACGGATGCCTTGATAGGCGTTGAGATTAAACGCATACATACAGAGTGTGTATACTTCAGTCTTCGGTGTCTTAAATATGTGATATACTTCAAAGTAAAGCATCTAACGTTACAAATATTTACCCGTTTTAAGAAAAAGTTTGAAACCAATTTATCTTACCGCATTTCTGGTTGGTGAACGATAAGACCATGTATTACTATTGTTACCAGTTGATGAAATTCCCTGTTCCATTGGTTGGCATAATAAAAAGAGATGAGTTCTTAATTCACTAATTGTATTCAACATTGTATAACATTCTAATGGTAGCGTTAAGTCTACAGTTTTGGCACATTTTCGAACCATTGATTCAAGTTCAATTAGAGTACTGAAAGCAAAAAGAAAAACACCATAGTAATAGTGAAAAGAGTAATGATAAAATGAATTAAAACTTTCATACTTGATAATGATTAGTGTAGAGCTAGTTTTATATGAAGTTTATTGGTCAGAAAAGAATAGATGATATTATTTGGTTGGTAGCAATCAGCAGAAATTCTTCAACCTAGGTTTGGTGCTTGCTGACGAGTGTCAACAATCATGAAACATGGATCCAGGGTTTCATACTAATTGCCTCCAGCTGACTTACACCCATTAGAGTGCACCGCAATGGTGAGACTCCTAGCTTGGTGGTTACACTGTGAAATAATAGATAGAAATCAGCACTCAGGACTAGGAAACATGAAATCGATTGCTGTTCAGTAACCATAGTTTTTGATGTGGTAATGAAGGCAACTTAAATTTTCTGCTGCATATAGTAACAAAACTTTCTTTGGAATTAGAAAGTGGATTAAAAATTCCCTTTTTTGATGTGGAACTAACAAGGAGGACAGATGGAGGCCTTTGTAGGCCTGATCAGTTGACAAGTTTTCAAGGGTGGATGCTTATTGATCAGAAAAAAATGAACTATATCTTACTTATTTCCAGTTATGGCTATCTAAAAGAAGAGATCATCTCCCTACAAATGGTGGTCAGAAATGTGTATCCACAGTGATTTATGGATAGAAATACTCAGCCAATATTTAAGGAGGATAACTCTGTCTTCTTTTCAAACACGATGTTGCGTATGAATTCGAACGTTAATGGTGACACCTCTTAACATCGCAGACAGAAGGATTTTGAACTCCCTATCACCAACATTCTCTGCAGCCAGGTTACAAAGTTTTTATCCCAGTCACTTACGGTATTTTCACAGCCTATATGCAGCCATTCTTATGAGCGTATATATAATCACTTGTTGCTAGAACATTAGGTGCATCAGTTTTGCAATACACACCCTATCTAAAAACGCTCAAGAACACCATCCTGTTTGCTTGCAAACAGGCGATAATGGATGCGATAGAAGTGGAGTAATTCAAAACCTTGTCGAAACCAGGCACTCAACCTTGACAAGTTATTCGATAGAATTTATCTACAGAGCGAGAAAAAACTTACCGAAAGCACTTATGTTTAAATAAATGATGGACAGTGGCTAGTAGTGGAATCCAGGACGGGCGTTCCGTCCTATTTTGGACCCAACAGCTGGATATCGTTAGGTCGGATCAACAACACAAAAGCCCTAACTGTTCGTTTCCCTTTTATTGCTCACACTCTGCTATTCAGTTGAAGAATTTGTAGTTCTGCATGTGAAAAGCATTTGCTAAATGATGGTTAATTCGGTGTTCTCTGAGCTTTTGTTTAGTCGTGGATGTTTTTTCGTCAGACTTGGTCACATCCTCAGCACTAATTTCATCATTTCACAATGGCTCAATACATTCTCCTTCTATTTTCTTGGTCCATAGCTTCTCAAGCCACTAACACTTTGTTTCTCTGCTTCATTATGCTTACCTTTTCTTGGTAAAAGTCCGTTCATTAGACATCTAATTATGATACACACTTCCCTATCTATCTAAATATGATAATCTTACCTCGATTTTAATTACATTTATTAATAAAATCTCAGTATTTGTGATTTAACAAACTATTTTATTTGTTAATATGTCGTTTAAACGAAAATTCTTGTAAAAAACATCAAATATACCCAACATGTCGAAGAAAGGTAGTTTTATGTAATACTAATTGTAGTACAGCTTAACGAGAAAAAGTCGCAGAAGAGTCTTCACTGAATAATTTAACTTTTTTGTTTTTAAGTTGATACGAATCCGTGGACTAGATACTTAACGTCAATTTTTAACCGTTATTACCAAGTATCTTCCAGATAATTTCCTCAGATTTTAATGAAAAACCACTTTTTTTCGGAGGTAACTGAGTGATCTGAGATAGCAATAGCACGAATAGTATTTGCAGCTTGTCAAGAATTGAATAAGTTCAAAATACGTTAGGAATTAAGATCGAGTAAAGTCTGATGAAATGCTAAGGGTAGCAGTGCAGTATATAAAATGGTAGAGAACAATATTTCAAAGTTATAAGTTTTATGAACTGACTGAAATTCTTCATTAAAGTTTGCGCTGTGGTATCAATAACTTACTATAAAGTCATTGCTTCAGCGCTTGATAACTCGTGTTCGAATCTCTGAGGGAACCTAAAATCTTTCAGTGTCGAAGACGGTCATGCTGATGGGTACCAACAAACGTGGAATCTAGATTCATTCACGTTTTCTCACTGGCTGAATTCAAACCCGTAGTATTCTGGTGACCTAATCTGACAGTCATATTTTCAGCTGTGATAACAGATACAGTTGTACGATGCAGAAAATCACAATAGTATGTTTACAAAATATAGACAGTAACGTCATATGTGGGTTATCTGGAGTGATTGATAACCTACGAAGCTCATGACAAAAAATAGGTTGTATGCGCTTCTTTAGAACGCGTAATGATGATTTTAGCTTCTGAATAGCTAATGCTTCAGCTGATTCCAGATGTCTTAGCCTGACCTATTTCGAGGGGTTTGGTTACAATTAGTACAGAATTTTGAAGGAGTTATCAAAAGGAGCAAAATGTCCTGAGTTTACTGTGTTCTGTTACTGAGCTGAAGATGCATTTCCATTCTCCTTTTTTCAGCCAACTTGAATGTTGTTCGCAAGTGAGTCGCTTAAGCTGGTATAAGTCGTTACAGGTGATGTACTCGGCTCTGCAGAAGTAAGTAAACTGAAATAACAGCATGATGAGTAAAATCAACCATTCTGTATCTATGTTCCGTTACACTACATGAGGAGGGAGAAACTGTGTAAATATTTACCATATTCTAAAAGTGACACTTCATTTTCTGTAGCTGTTTCGTCACCTTAGCTTTCATTACACTTGTATTTGGAATGACTTATTTAAGAATACCCAAAGAACTAGTACTTTTCATACATGGGCAAAGATTAACAAGCCGGATTTCCTTAACCAAATTTATTTATTCTGATGTTGTTTATCAATGAAGATGTCAGCGTTATATTTTAATGCGGAGGGACGATGAATGAGACTGAAACGGAAAGTTTAGTCGTAAAAAGCTATAAACTAGGAATCTGCGGTTTACCGAATCAGAACTCAATTGAATAAGTTAACACATCGACCTGGATTACATCGAAAAAAACACGGTTAAACAGTCCGTATAGTGATGTTAACGTGACAATAAGATCAAACTCTAGATGATTCAAGAAAAATTGAAACTTCTTCATCAGTAGGGTATTCTAACTGAATCGTTGATTCGAATGTCTCTAATTGGAATCCTGCGATGAAGTCATGTTCCATTTCAGCTTCAGTTATCGTCGCCTTAATTTCCAAAAGCCTTCTCTCTAACTTCTTGTTGGCATAAATGGTTATTCTAAGTCAGACATTTTTCCTGGTCTGATTAACACAACAGATACAAAAGCACAGGATCTGATGTAACAGCACACATTTTCAAGCTGTTACACTTCACATCAAGATAACAAGAGGGAATGGAAAACGCGAAACAACAAATAAATAATGACAACAAGAGTATTAGAGGAAAAGAGGCAGGCAAAGGAGGCGATTTAAGGTGGTAAGTGAAAGAAGAAAAGTCCTGGACTTACAGGTAATAACAGCTCCACACATCTGTGGCACATAGATCTCGATGCAAACCACCTCATTCCATTTCAATAAATTCAAAATCTTCATTAGGAGGTAGTGTCTCAATGCTACCATTTTGACTCTGCTTCCACATTTAACTCTGTACTAGTTAACACCTCATGTTAATCAGACCATTGAGTGGCACATTGAGTGACATATATCAAAACTATCTCAGTCGGTAAGGAAAAATAAACACCACTACTCACATTTATGCTTACTTATTGCAAAATGTCAGTAATAGTTGGTCGACAGTGAAATACAGTTAGGGCTTTCTTATCCTCCAACTGTAGTGGTTATCAACCAGTTAGGAAATAGGACAGGATGTTGCTTCTTACCACCACAATATAACTTTAGGTAAGCATTTGGATATCTAACCAGTAATGTAAGTGGCATAGTTTGGCAAGAGGTAAACAAACCTTTTGACTTCCGAGGGGAAAATTCACCAACCAATTTCTGAACGCATTTGACGCAGTACAACATGGTAAACATATCCAAAATATTTGCTTCCTATTAACAGAGGCAGAATTGAGACATATCAGTCTTCAAAAACCCATATGAGATGCGTTTTAAGTGCTTGCGCACTGTCACTTAAGATGTACAGATGATTCTATATTTTGCAGCATCTTGACTAACAACAGAACTCTGTTCGCGTACTTTATGACAGCTAGGAAAGTTCTCATTGAGGAGACAGATTCACAAGACGCTAGAGAAACAGCGTTACTCAGAGAAGCATAACTGTGACAAAGGCGGATAAAAAGGAACAAAAGATAACCGTATCGAACATCGCTCAACATAGTGATCAGAAAGCCTTTGAAGAATGTAGACACTTGAAAATGATTTCTGTTAGTTGGTTGGAGGCAATCGACAGGAAGCCGTGGACCTAGGTTTCGTGCTTTTGGCACTCGTCAGCAAGGCGTATCTGCAACCTAGACGGAACTGATGTCCCGTCCGAGATTCGAACCCGCGTCACCCAGTGTTGTAGTCGGCGATAAACGTTTATCGTCAAATTCATCCAATTGGTCAATGATTTTCTCTCACAACACAGTGGTGTTAGTTTACAACTGAAATCCAACTTACCGCTTAACAGCCTCACGAAGCATTTGTGCGCAAAGAACTCGTACTCTTTCATCAAGTGCTTCTGCCATGCCAGGTTGAGGCCAATTTAGTTCTTGAACGAACTTCTTCAGTTTATACAATCTCCACAACAAGTCCATCACAGTTTGACAAGTTTGACTCCCTGCCATATTAAAACTACCTGATGAATATTGAAACAATTCTGTGCTCATTGATGGTACCTCTAATTTCTCCTTAATCTGTGTACTTTTGCTTGTACAAAGAGATGAATTCCACTTAACTTCTGGCTGATTAGGAAGCGGTGCATTCAAAGATCCTGTTTCATTCAAGTTTCCAGCATCTTCTTTATGATATAAAGCGAAAGAGAGACGGGGACGTGATGAAGACTCAGCTTTTGGTTGAATTTGTGACATACCATCAATTTGAAAATCTTTTGTTCCTTATTTGAAAAGAAATTATGGTAGAAGTTAAATCTAAAATGTGAGTCAGTGATGGCAATGTCTACAGTTAACATCATACAAGATGCTATAATATATTTATTAAAATTTTTAACTCATATCTTCAGTTTAAAATTTCAAAACCACTTTAGTAACGTCAGAAACATAAAAAGTGAAGATTAAGAGCCTAAACATATTGATTGAAGTGCACCTGTAAAAATGTCATATGAAGTATCATAATAAATGTAACATGCATGATAGCGAAGCTTTCTTACAGGATCCAATGTAGCAGTGAATCGTGCATCAAGAAGGCTTAAAAATCATTCATATAGGCGTTAAACTAGTAGGACAGAAAATCTATAAGAAATTAGATGTATAAAGAATACCTTGTATCTCAGTAATTATCCACCTAAATTTATGAATAAATCGAAAGAATGCAAAACGAGAAGAGGAACTGACCACTACCTATAAAACACTGGATAAAGAAGTGAAGAAGAGTGCACGCAAAGACAAAGGACACTTCTACGACACACTTGCAAGTGAAGCAGAAAAGGCTGCAGGTAGGAGGGACCTGACAACACTGTATCAACTAACCAGGTTACTATCTGGGAGGGAAGAGATCAACACAGATGAAACCAATAAAAGATGATGAAGAAAGTCTAATTACCAAAGGAGAGAAACAAAGGTAACGATGAGCTGACTACTTCAAACAGCTGTTGGATCGACCACCACCAACACCTGCAACCCGTCCAGAAATACCACCAGCAGCCCAGCTACAGAATTACCAGTGAACACAAACCCTCCGACAAAAACAGAAGTGATGTCCTGAACGCCATGAAACTGCTGATTTACGGGAAAGCAGCAGGACCATATGGAATTCCACCAGAAACACTGAGAACAGACTCAGAGACAACAGCGGACATGCTCACATCACTATTGCAGAAGGTTTGGAAGGAAAGAAGGAAAGGTACCTGTCTATTGATTGGAAGTAGGACTACCTTGTCAAACTTCCAAAGAAGGAAGACCTTAGTCTTTACAAGAACTGGTGCAGAATCATGTTCCTGTCCATCCGGAGCAAAATATTAAGCCGCATCATCCTGAAGAGACTAAAGGATGCACTGGATTCAAAACTACGACCGGAACCGTCTGGCTTCAGGAAGTACAAATCATGTACCGACCAAATTGCAACGCTTCGCATCATCATGGAACAGAGTATAGAATGGCAGTCAATTCTACACCTCAACTTCATCAACTTTGAGAAGGCCTTTGACAGCGTCGACTGGGAAGTAATTTGGAAACTGCTTCAACACTACGGAATACCGCAAACCTTTATCAGTCTCATTCAACAGCAGCTATATGAAGATGCCACATGCCAAGTAATTCACAATGGAAACCTCACTGATGCTGTCGAAGTGAAGACAGGAGTGAAACAAGGCTAAAACCTGCTATCACCCATGATATTCCTGATTATAGTGGACTGAACTGGATCATGCAACAAATAGTGAGGAGCGAGAGGAGGGGGACACGCTGGCTGGACCGTGGAAAAGAACCTAGAAGACTTGGATTTCGCCAGTGATGACTTGTGTCTAATGTCTTGTCGCACAAACTTGAAGATTTACAGACGAAAACTAACAAGTTGACAGGAGAGGTGAGGAAGCGAAGATGGGACTTCAAGTGAATATAGAGAAGATGGAGGTGATGAAGATACCCAACCAACAACAACAAACACCAATCGCCACCAACGGGAGAAACTTAAAGGAAGTAGCCTCCTTCACCTATCTAGGCAGCACTGTTTCAACTACAGGCGGGACAGACGAGGATGTCGAAGTCAGCCAGGATCGGAAAAGCAAGACAGGCGTTCATTAACCTGAAACCAGTGTAGAGATCTTTTGCACTCAGCATAAAGAACAAGATTCGGATTTTCAACACCAATGTCAATTCAGTACTTCTGTATGGCTCAGAGACTTGGCGCGTAACGATAAGCATTCCCAACAAACTACAGACATTCATCAACAACTGCCACCTACGCTGGCTGGTTATTGAAGATCAGATCGCCAGATTAATAAGAATAAGCAACAAGGGACTCTGGTCGGCTGACTGGCAACGAACCAACTAAGAAGCTATCGGTCAACAAATATGCACTGGAAGGAAGTGGAGATGGATTTGGCATACACTGAGAAGGCTGACTGGGGACATCACGTGTCAGGCACTTGAGTGGAACCCAAATGCGAAGCGACGAGTTGGGCGTCCGAGGGTGAGGATCACATGGAGGAGATCGTGTGAGGAGGAAATGAGAGGTTGTGGGCTGTCGTGGAGCCAGGTTCAAAAGATTTCAGGGAACAGTGTGCATTTGAGACTTGCTACTGAAGCCCTATGTCCCATCAGGAACCCAAGGGACAAACAATATAATAGTAATAATAATAGTAAGAATACAAGCATTATTAAAATAATTCTATGAATAATAATAATAATGATAGAGTGGAAACAGAATTCAAAGCCTCTACTGTGTTGCCATACAAAGAAGTCACCTCAGTAGCGCTAAGAAGAATTCTCAACAAGGTTGGGGTTAGAGTGGTATTTAAACCAACAAACTCGCATAGAAACGAGCTTTGTGGGTTAAAACATAAATAATTTATTTTTTCAAATCCCTTGCGACGATTACGAGGTTAATTACATACGTCAAAGTTGTCGATTAGGGTCAATTAGAATAACAGAGGACAAAAAAGCTAAGCTTAATCAAGATTAGTAGATCCTAAACATATAATAAATTTAGAAAGAAAGCTAAGCACGCAATTATGCACAATCACACAATCATGTGGGAAAGAGCGATAGTATTAGGGACTTAATTGCTCTGAAGGACAGATTAATAACTGAATCTTTGTTTATTGAATTACACCAAATACGTACAAGAGAAATGATTTTGTACCTGTTCCAGGTATATGGAAAATTCTACTACTCTCATCACAAAGAACAAGCACAGTAAATTATGTGCGAAAAGTCATTCAGTGAATAATAGTATCTCATTGTGACGTTTCTTATTAACAGACTAAAAATGGCTTTTATCAACAGCCACTGGATATACAATGGTGATCACAAAGAAGTACTTGTTAGTTAATTCGTACTACCATATACTTAAAACACATTCCTATTGTTTTAAAACAATAAATAGTTTGATATATATATCAATAAAAGCAAGCAAAGAATGACTTTACCAACAGAATATTCTGAAAGTCAGTTACGCTTGACTTTCCAAAGGAAAAAAATATTCGGTTACCTCAGCGACATCTCAGATATAAAACTTAGTGGACTGCTGTCAATCTCTATATTACCTCTTGAAGAGTAGGATCTCCTAGGTCCCAACGTGTTTACATCTTTCCACTTTCAAGTTTTAAATTCAAACCCCTCAGTGATGACTGTTGGTAGTCATTGTTAAGTAACTTTACCGATAATTTTACACGAAGGTTAATCAAGTGTTATTCATAGAGGATTTAGTGGAATATATCACAGGTTATTAAGAAGGCGTAGTTCAGTGGAGGGGGTCTATTTTTACCATCTTTTTGAATACTGGCTTCTTTAAGCAAAAACTTCTTGTGAATATTCAACAAATTGAACTTTAGGAAAGTTCATTAGCTTTAGTAGTTGAAATCTTCAGTAAAGGTTCAACATTCTGAATTATAGATCTTTTTAGTAAAAACAACACATAATGTTGTATCGGGTTAACCTGTCAAAAATGTCTATAAGATTAAGGTTCTGAAATCAGATAAGACACGGAGAAGGTGGAGGGACAGAGGTTAAGTCCCTTTCATTTACTGAATTTCTTGTCAAGTTTATCTTGATTCTGGCATTTCCTCTATAACTATTTCAATCACAAATTTACTAGTCAGTGACATTCTTGAGAAAATTGCAGTTGAGAACTACAGACTTTCGCAATACAACAAAAAGTCTGTCACTTCAAACGGTCATCGATTTGCTGCTATCAGGTGAACATGAGACTCATGCTGTATATAAGTTCACTTTGACAGTTCTCAAATGCAGTGGATTGAAAAAATACACGATAAAAACAGTAGTGAAATCTGTCACAACTATCAAAATTCCACTTACTAACTTTCTCGTCATACACTTTTCTACCTGAATATTCGTTTTCTTCTGTCCAGTCCCTCTTCGTGTGTTGTTATGATGTAAGGCAGTCTGAACTAACCAGTTCCTCTATACTGTTCGACTTTGGCTGGTCTATCTGCTGTCAAATGGATCACACTGAACAAATTTATTTTCATGTTATCAAACTCTTTTTGCTCAACACTGATTATGCATCAAGGATAAGATAACTCGCTTGGACACCTTGATTTGTGTTCATCAGTTCACCTACTGGTGTAGTGTAAGGTATATTAAGTGTACTCAGCGTTTGCCTTTTAAACGCATTTCCGAACATTTACCAACTTGTTTCCACAAAGAAGAAAGAAGAGCATCTTGTAGCTTAATCTAAGAACATTTTGATAGACTATGATCACCGGTTAAATGCAGAAAACAACTTCAACGTCATCTATAAGATACGTGCAAGCTTCGTGAATAGTGAACGTCTGAAACTTCTTCAAACTTCAGAAACCATGGCAATTAACATTATGAAGCTTGAAACTTGCCCAGTCACTTCAGTTACAATGGATATGATAATTTACACTAGAAATTCTTTCTTTCACACTTTCATGCACTTTATACTCTTCTATACACATGGTTCTGATTTTTTATTACATTCTCCAGTGACTTTAACCATATTATATCATTTAGGTTAGTAATCAAATATTACTTCAGTTTTGATAGGTCTTCTTCTCATTACTATTTCAAACACTAAGCAATTAATCTTCCAATCTCCTGATTTATGATCAAAACTGAATTTCGTTCAAAAATATTTTATGGAATATTCCTTCTCGGTCCTCATGTGAAAAGAATATTTATATGCGAGAATGATATAGGTGAAAAGAGTGACTCTTCACTAAACATCTTTTATTTTATATTGAATTGCATTCGCTTCTATGGACCGGTTACGATCCTGTTCATGTAAATAGGAACTTATATTACTTATCATCATCACATAGAAGTTTGAAAAGAAGACGAACAGTTTGATTAGAATATATTATCAACTTAAGCAGAGTATTGACCAATTATTCACCTACAAACAGTCCACTGGACGCTTAGCTTACTTCTAGTCTTATGTTTCAATTTCTACAGCCTAAACGACACCTTTTTTCATCTTAAGTGAAAAAAAATCAAGGATATTATATTACTAAAATAATAGCTATATGAAACGACTAAACAAACTGTAAAGCGGAAACAGCTAGGGTAGTTAAATATTTTCAGAGTATCCAAACCTGTATGATGATCAGGATGGATAAATGAACAAAAAACTTTTAAGCAAATGTATGACATGTAAACTAACTTAGCTTGACTGAATAAATTTACTTCTACGATACTTCAGTCGAAATCGGAAAATGACAACTGTAGAATAATCTGGAGAAATACTAGATTGTTATTTTCAGTAACAGAAAGTAATTGAGAGTTCTATTTGCGCTAGTGATAGCACACATGGAAACTTCTATGGTACAGTCGCTACAGGAGTTTGATAAATGCATAGTAGAAATTCCCTAGTAAATATCTACAGCGATGCAGATTAAAAAAAGCAGTACTCAACTTTTTATCCAAGATAAGTGAAGTAGACAGTCTAAATCCAGTCAGATCCCTATCCACACTAAAATCAACGACCGTGTGTCCACTTCTGAAGCTGCTACAATGGAAAAATACATTATTCTTATTGATGTAACATATGAGAGGTATGCTGGCTTGTGGGCTTAACACATCTCGAAGATTATTCAAGCTGATTGAGAAATCAACCGATTCCCTTGCTCTTTTTGAGGATACTGTAGTGACTAACATTGAGTTGACTCAACCCTAAACTGTTTGATGCTGAGTGGTGGAGGGCTTGCAGCCTAAGGTTTGTACTTGTTGACTCTCATCAGCAGTGTTCATGAGCATCCAAATAGATCACTAATATGTTATCTAACTGTAGAACCAAGTGGTATGGGTTGAATCCTTGAGGCAGCACTGATTGTCTTAAGGTTATGACACAACTAGCTAACAGGTGACAACAAAACGAAACCTACTTACAGGATTTCTGTTCACCACATTGAACTATCCAAAAGAAGTAACCATTCGTGAATTACTCCACTTTGCTGAAGTGGTCTAGCAAATCACAATATATCCTAATGATGACTGCAAGTCTAAAGACGTAATTGTTGTGTAAAACCACTGAATAATCAAGATTTTTGTCTTTAGTGACTCAACATGTGAAAAGAGAGAAAATCGAATTCACAGGGTTATCTAAGATGATTATGATAAACATCTATCTCACCTTCATTCCTGTTCAATTTGGATCCCGGAATCCACCGTTCATTTTTACATCCCTCTATCAAAGCTTGTTCTATCGAATCCGCCATCAATCCAATATAACGGTCAACTAGAGGTGTAAAACGATTCGCTAATTCCTGATGAAATCGGCCATTGGATAAATTAGCTGATCAAAGAAAATTATTCAGTGTTTAGCATATTTCACTATAAACTGTAAATGTTGCCCTAGTAGTTAATATCAAATTGTTTACTACTTGCTATGAAGCATGCACAAATTAATGGATGGTTTTAGGTCTCCATTTTCTGTTGTTCATCAACAAAGTTGAATTCATCATCATCTACTGATGATATGGATACGTTGAACCTAGAATCACATCCAAACATGATTCAATTCTATGTTAGCTGGCAGTGAAAGTAAATCTCATATTACTTAAGACTTGTCAGTAGAATGTACCACAATCTACTGTTCTATTTTTATTCCAATGATTACCAACCATCTACACTAAGCTGTTGAGTAGAAACAGTCATTTATTATAGAACAAGTATCAGCTGTCAGATAACGTAGTTTCCGATTACTTATTTACTGAACCATTTGCCGATTTATTCGTACGAGGAGTCTATCAGCAAAACTATTCTGTTTTACAGACACATATACCATGACCTGACCTGAACTTTTCATTCTTTAAAAATAAGTTAACAACTTTGTTTCAGTAGGTACAGTTAAGTAGCGTATTTTCAACATCTGGTTGATATTCAACTGAATTAAAGATTAGGTGTTATCATTGAAACTTATTTTCTACAAGAAGTTGGATGAAATTAATTGATACCATGCAAATTCAATTATCTAACTTTGTACTCACTCTGTGATTATCAATAATATCGTTATCATTCTTAAGGCATGGTGGTAACACGTCTATTACAGACAATTGGAAAATTACATAGGCAGAGATGATAACTGAATTTGAACGAGAACCCATGATCTCATTAAGCTTTGATCGATCTGACTGTCTTCTTTTTGTCTGGATGTCGAATAATTCTTCAGTTAACCGTGATTCCCCACTTCATTCATTCCAATCTGTATTTGTTTGTGAAAACCTCGTTGGGCAACTAGTGTGTTTCAATGTGAATAGAGTTGTGTATCTACCACTCATAAGATGGTTACATACAGTAACACGATTGAAGTGGAATTACCATCTAATTGGGTTTATTTGATTGTCGTACTGGAGTCAATGGAACAAGTGGTCAGTAAACCACAGGCCACTTGTCGAAATCCACTTCCCAGTTTAGCTATCTTTCCAATCTTAGTTGTCAGTATTTCATCATCAAAATTTCAGTCTACAAAGTGAAGCTATTTCAGACATTTCAGTGAATAATTTCTATTTTTCATTTCTGCTAACTCATATACGAAATGATCACGAAGTCGAAGTCACAAATGATGCATGATAGAAATCGGTAGAATCTATGTATAGTCTGTTTTTCATCAGTGAAGAATATCCGTTAAGGTATCTTTGATGATGAGATGAGTACACAGACTGGATGATATTATACACTGTGTAGAATCTGAAAACCGTGCAGATTATTTTATCGTTTGTAAGGTTGCACACATTTCCAAGAGAGTGCCTACACAATCATGAGAACATCACCTTTTAACTTGAAGAATCGACTGATTTTATTACAATTAAAATCATGAAGACAGCCATTAAAAGTGAAACGAAATAACAACTGCAGACAAATGAAGTGTATCTGGTTTTCTCATGTTTGCTGTTCTCAAGGCCCACACAGTAATCCAACGAATACAGAACCTTGAATCTCAGAAACTTTGTTCATCAGATTGATTTCCTTACGGTCATCACAGGAGGAATTCTCGCATATCTCAATGAGTGGTACAATAAGTGAATAAGACTAGTCAGAAGGGGATCTATCTGACTCTAACACACTAGCTAGCACTTCAGTTAACTTGACTAACAGTATACAACCACCGTCCTTGAATAACTCAGGAACTAGCCCATCTGACCGGGGTACTCTTTCTCATTTCAGGTCACCTACAGTTTTCTCGACTTCTGTAGGTATCTGACGTCCTAAAGTGATATTTCACTCATCATCCGACAATATGACCCTCAGCTGGAAAGTAGCTGGAGGTCGGTTGAACTGTTCCCAAAAGTGTCTCACCTACTTTTCCATTCGTCTCCCCAGCAGGTAAATTACAGAGCTATTTTTCTTCGCTGTAGTTTCACCAGTGACTGACCATTATGCCACAGTTGCCTAAGAAGTCCTAATAACTGTATGTTATTATCTGTTGCTGTTGCCTAGGTGTTTAACCTACGGTACACACTATTATTCATTGTTGTTGCTTAGATTTTCGCTCAGTCTAAATTTGAACTGCACTAGCTCCTCACTGCAGTTGGAGTCTTCAAGAATGTGTTTGCGTGCACCTACTAATTCACAACAAGTTACTGAAGTCCACTGACCCTTATTAACCAAGCTTCTTCTAGATGAGTGACATTGTTCCATCCCGATAATTGTAGTCGACTGATTTTATTATGAAGTAAGACAGCTGTTAAAAGTAAAACGAAATAATAACTGTAGACAAATGAAATATTGAATGTGTAAATATACCTTGCAAATTATGCTTTTTCATTGATCAAATCAACTTACAATGACTTAAAAGATAATTATTCAGCAATTGAAATAAATCAAAAACTTCCCAACAATCTTCTGGTAATCTATCCAATAATTCAAAGAGATCCATTTGAAAAAGATACCAAAAATTTTCTGTATGCTCAACGAAAAGATCATTAAACCACGAGAAAGACTAAAAAATTTCAATAGAAGATAAAAAGATAGATATTGATTAAAGGTTTGTTAAACTACAATTGACGATATGCATTTGAAGTTCCCTCTTTGTACAAATTCAATATAAATAAATAAATCCATTGATAACTATTCACTATTGTGTTATGTCCTATGCTGTAGAATGAATTCATGTTTGCTTATTTTTGAATGAGTAAATCATATTCCAAGTCATAAAATTTCAACTAACTGAAATAAATATGAAGCCAATGACAAAACTTTGTCAGAAACAATTAATCACATACAAAGTCATCAAGACAAACGTCTAAGCGACTTATGAAGAAAACTTCATAGCTTATTCCTTTCTGATGTTTATGCTTATGATGCTGTCTAAAATGATATCGAAAGCTTCACAATTAAACTATCCAGCTCAAAGAACACAAACATCATAAAAATTCCAAACTATCATCAATCATTGATGTAATTAAAATTTGTCTTTGGATATATTTCATGTAGTAAACATCAAAAGACCTATTGACTTGTTGATGATGAATGAATTTGGTTCCAAGCGATTTCATTTATCTGACTGGTTATTATGAAATGACTAAAGATACATTTCATTGATCGATAGCGTAATTTATTCATGAAAGATCTTATGATTTCCTTTTAAAATGGTTTATACATACATGAAGTCAAGAATTCCTAGAATGGTGGAAATCGAACCACGTGTCTTCACATAAAAAAAAAATTGCTGGCAGCTTCATTAGAAAATTTTTTTTTCCAACTGACTGAAAATTTTATTCCATTTGAATTGATTTATTAGGCATATCACACAGTATCCATAGTCACATCAAGATAACTCCACAACTTTGAGACATAGTTTATGTAGTTCTATTTTCTTCACCTCCTTTGTGATATAGGCAGTAGGATTTTCCGTATATCCGAAACAGGCATTCAGTCATTCATGTCGCATAAGTTAGGTGTTGATTCGATAAACAAAGATTCAGTTATCAATCTCACCCTCCACCATACTAGGTTACTTTTAAAAAAATGTTTACTCTATCCATCCTAATTTGTAGTTGTATGTAACAGCATGGATATCTATGGTATAGCTTTTTCCTACTTACCTTATCTTACCAGGATCTACCAATTTGGATCTAGCTAGGTAAGAGTTAGATTCTACCAATGGCCAATGGCCAATGGTGCGCACTGCTGAGGAGTCCCATACTAGGACGAAACAGCTGTCCAGTGCTCCCAGGTTTCCTTTGTTCCTCCAATTGATGTCAGTCTTCGATGAATAACAATTTGAAATAATTCCAAATCTCCACAACTCCCTCAAAATTTAATTGAACTGGTGCTCATTGGTGACTAGCTTCGAGGAGTATTCCCGAAGTTCCAATGACAAGTCGTGACCGGTGGAGTCAAAGCCTGATGGCCGTGAGGACAAATACTCAGCGATGACATTGGGTGGCGGTTGCGCTATATATTGTGAGCTAACAAAAGTTGGAAATATGGAGCATTGGATTCTGACCCAGTGGCTCAATGATAACGCGCTGGCCGCGGAACCTGTAGGTCGCGGGTTCGATCCCTGCTGATGGGGTCGTGGGTGCGCACTGCTGGGTAGTCCCATACTAGGACGAAACAGCTACCCAGTGCTCCCAGGTTTTCATTGTCCCTCCAACTGATGTCAGTCCACGATGAATAACAACTTTATTCTTATATTAATTATGATAAATATGTTTTTATTAACATTTAATTACTTTTTTATAATTGAAGTGAAGCTTAATGGTCAGGCTTTTGTGCATCAAATATTCAGTTTACAGTTAGTTATTACTAACAAAAAAGGCCATAGAATTTCTCTGCATTTACAATCCATCATATAAATGACCTACCTCAGCATGGTGTTGTTCATTCTGCTTAAGAACTTCAATACAAAGTTCAGCCAAATGAAACATTTCACAAATTTTTCTACTTTCCTTTTTCCCATCTAAAAGTAAAAAGTAAAATACGAGACACAAAATGTATGAAACCATCTTTAGGAAAATACAATATCAAATAAGGTAAGGTATTTATGAATACATGAAGGATGATTAACGGAATCAAATATGGTTACTCAATCAGTTTGAAAATTACTTATGAATTTTTCTATAGATTGTCAATACATTTATCATAATTAGGCGATTATGAACCAAGAAAATGAGTTTCTCCTCAAGAGAATAAACTGACTATAATCTCTTCCATGAAAATTTCATAAATTAACATATACACTGACTGATCACTGGAGAGTAACCAATTTCATGTTACATAGTCCTGAGTGTTGACCAAATTCTACCGATCATTTTGCAATGTGGCTACCAATCTAGGTGGCTTACCATCGAGTCCCAGAGGGGACATCAGTTCCCTGGAGGTCACAGATACACCTTGCTGATGAGTGCTAACAAGCACCAAACCTAGGTCAAGTAGAGCCCTCTGCCGATTGCCAACAGCCAAATAAGAACCAAGAAAGGGCACTGCGATGGTGAGCCTTCTAGCTTGGTGGTCACATTGCAAATATGATCGATAGAATTCGGTTAACACTCAGAACTAAATAATATGAGATTAGTCTCTCTCCAGTAACCAACCGCTGTGTGTAATCCAGCCCTACACCAGGTTAGTCGTGGCCCGAATAGCTCAGTGGTAACGTCGTTGAGTGCAATACCAGCAGGCATGGGTTCGAATCCCACAGAAGACACCAGTGTCCCCAAGGTTGCAGGGCTTCCTGCCCGTTCCCTTTAAATAAACAACATTCATCTAACTTAACACAAAGTTTGTTAAGTTGGACAAGTGCAGATATTCTGAACCATTCAACCCAGTGTTGTCAATCACACAAAATGCTACGCTGATAAGCTCAGTTCTTAAACAAGTGGTACTGTTATCTGTTGTACACGCTACTTTAGGTTTGCCTAATTAACATACTTGTCGATGCAAACTCAGTTTAGACGTCTTCGCTGAGAATTGAAAAAATTCAACTCTTAGGTATCCTAAGATAATTTCGATAATTGCCTAGTAATGTGCTACCAAACATTAGAAAATTCAGATTTTGTTAGCGGGAATCCAATTAGGTCTCCGGTATCATGTGAATTTGTATCAAAAGGGAAATAACGAAAAAGTGAGTTCTTCTTTCTGCGATAAACATCCACCTAATTATCAATTTAACAACCCAAGTTAGTTGTAGTTTGATAGATTTGTAATGATACCAGGATGATGATTGAAGATGAAACAAAAATTTGGGTCATGGAAGGATTTGAACCAATGACCACGTTACTATTGTACTATCGGTTGATCGTACTCCCGCCGGCTGTCTAACCAGTATACCTAATTGTTTGCAGTAATTAGTGTAGGTACTTTGTTTTGACTTTTTAATATGTGTATGACCTAATAAAAACCTCATGTACGTGAATCTTTTTGAATATTATATACATTAATGATACTAAATTGATATTGACAAAAATTTATAGAAATTCTTGCTCACTACAGTCTGAATCCACAGAAAGGATTTTCAGCAATGTGAACTACTTAGGAATGCTTTTACCGATAGTATATCGTCTACTTCAAGTTGACAGCTGCCTAACGCACTAGATACACTGATACTCAATACTCAGATGATCATTAAAAAAGTTAAGAAATATGAATACTGGAAACGTTTTGGATTTTTCTTGACAAAATAATGTATCTAAACTGATACATGACTTGAGTTATTTTCCACACATTGTCTAATCGACACTATCCCTATCAGAAAAGAGATCCACCTTAAACAAGTCACATACAACCAGTTCACTAGCATCTTTAGCTACTTACTTGGTTTATTATAGATCTCATTAACAGAAACACTGTAAAAGTAAGCTACTGACTTTCAACCTAAGTGACAGCATTATAAACAGAATATAATACAGGCACATGTTCGCAAACGAATACAGTTTCACTTCAGTCTCCACAAGTTATTCTATTTCATGGTGAAACAGAAATCCAGATGGAACACCTTGTAAGGGAATTTATTCGTGCTATATCTCTGTCGCCACTTCTTATAACCTTGTTGCCACTTGTAATCACTTTGCTGTCGCATATTATATTCTTGTAGTAGCTTGATATAGCCTAAGTTATATATATATATATATATATATATATATATACATATACAAAATACAAGTGTTTATATGTATTAACAATGGCCTCGGCTATTTTCAAACCTTTCCAGATTTGGTTATCCTATTATTTTTTATCTCTTCCGCACCCTTCTCCTTCGAAGCAACATGATTGGTCGTAAATGTCTTTAAGGATTTAAGGCTTTTTATGAAGATCATGTTAATCTTATTCCAAACTGTGACACTTCGTAATACTTCAACTTACATTCTCGTAAAACTAATACTGTTCCTCAACTCATCGTATATAAAACAAATCGGTACATTAATGATAAATCACAGTAAACTGACTCGTACTTTGTCTTCTTTCAGATTTTCGTTGATTAGTTTATGCAGATAAATATGATTACTCTACCTACATTATTCTTTCATCCATCAATAAGACTAATCATACATTACTAAATAATGCAAACTGTGATCCAAATCCAGGAAACAATTGTTTTCGATTCTGGTATAATATCGATGAACTAACTATGCTACAAAGAACAGTCTTGAGGGACAAGTAACTAGAACGAACACATGACACTATTAGTTCCATATCTATGTCATTGTTTAACACAACACATTAAATAATTATGACATCAAATAACAAGTAATAATTCACTGCTGAAATGTTATTTACATTATGAATGTTGACGACTAAAATAAAACAGGATGGTTCTATAGTTTATAATATCCATTACTAAGAAGTAACAAAAATGACTCGGAAATTATGATCAGCAATATAATCTATTTTCACCGATTAAAGTATAGTAAATTATAATGTGAAAGGACACATTTTAAAATAGAACTTGAAGGTGGTTACTCACTTTTAACTCGTGGACCAGTAACAACTGTAATACAAACAGATGAAATCAAACATGAAGTTAAGATTTAATAGCTTGTAAATATTATATATGCTGTTTATTGATTTCAGCAGGTTATTGAAATTACTTATGAAGATAAAAAACAGCGTAGCATGTTAATAAACTGACCTGAGAGTTAATAAACTCGTTGTAAACTAGAATTATTGCTAATTGAAAATATATTTCAGTAAAAGAGAAGTAAACTGCACTCCTCAAAAAAGAATTATCAGTATCCCGTCTATGAAGTAGAGCTATCGAAATCTACTGAACAAAAGGTAAATGTAAGTAAGGAGACGAAAACTACTGCAAAATATACAGCAGATGTTACTGCAGTACAGTGAGTATAATGCTCTATTCCTATAGCTTTAAAAATTCTAACATTTTATAAGAGCAAAATATTGGCACAGTAGTACAGTATACTGTCCAATTGGAATGATTATTTAGCATAGCATGCCGTGATACTGTATTATTCACTGGATGACATTTCGAACAGGATTTATCACTCATATTCATATCAAAGTAATTATAAGACTTTAAAACCTCCTTTACATAGGGCAACAGATCTTCATTCTTTCATTTCAGTGGTTGTAAAACTTTCCAGATACCTGCAATATGTAATGAATCATTCCTGTCACATGTGTATTAGGCGTTGACTCAATGAGAAAGATTCTGAGATTAATCTCTCCCACAACTAGTTAGAAATATTGGATGTTAGAATTATCACCCCCATCCTACACTATAATGTGGTTATAGGTCCGAGCATGAAGAGTGATGGTCGAGTTTTTCTCTTCTGAATTACTTATCTCAGTAGGGTTTATCATTAAATGTTTCGCTGCGCTTCTGTGCTCCCCTATATCGACTGACCCCGAGCGGCTGCACTGACTTATATACGTTATCTCATAATCATCGAATGCCATTTGATAGATCAGGATATTTCGCTAAATCGGTCCCATTGGATATTCTAGCCTACAACGTTTCTCTTCGAGTGAGTTTGTCAGTTTGTATGCCACCCTAATCCCATCATTGTTACCTATTTGAATATTGCAAGAAGAATAACGGCATCAGAATTAGTATATATGTGATTCGTGGATTCGTCTTAGCTGTTATACAGCGTATAGATTGTAATGGTTATGATAAAAAAACACAATATATTTTCATAAATCAACAAAAATGTTTCGATTGAGATGAAAGGTAGCAGCACTTAATTAGTCCAAATTTGTCTACGGATTCCTCGATACGTGCCAAAACTCAAGAGGTCCATTGTCCGCATTTCTGAAGGTATCACAAAGAATTGGACTCCTACTGGTCCATAGGGTTTAAGCAGCGCAATCATACGGCGTTTACTTGATACTGGATATATTAAAGTCGTTCAAGAAGATTAATAACAACTGAAATCAACCCTTTGGTAGTTTTACCTGAGCAGTTGCAATTAAAAGACTAAAACGTGATCTGTGTATTCAGAAATACACTACTTCCAATCTTCTTTTAACCCTCCCCTAAATTTTTAAATACGAAATTTCATGACATCATAACCCTCAGTTATATCGCTTTATTTTTAGAAACATTTCGAAACCACTTCTGCTCCATGAGTTGTATTCAACCTAAATATTTGTTACCCTTCATCTAAATCGAAACATTTTTGTTGATTTATGAAAATACATTGTGTTTTTTTTATCATAACCATTACAATCTATACGCTGTATAACAGCTAAGGCGAATCCACGAATCACATATATACTAATTCTGATGCCATTCTTCTTCTTGCACTATTCAAATAGGTAACAATGATGGGATTAGGGTGGCATACAAACTGACAAACTCACTCGAAGAGAAACGTTGTAGGCTATAAGATCCAATGGGGCCGACTTAGCGAAATATCCTGATCTATCAAATAGCATGCGATGATTGTGAGATAACGTATATAAGTCAGTGCAGCCGCTCGGGGTCAGTCGATATAGCGGAGCACAGAAGCGCAGCGAGACATTTAATGATAAACCCTACTGAGATAAGTAATTCAGAAGAGAAAAACTCGACCATCACTCTGCATGCTCGGACCTATAACCACCTTATAGTGTAGGATGGGGGTGATAATTCTAACATCCAATATTTCTAACTAGTTCGTAGGAGAGATTAATCTCAGAATCTTTCTTCATTGAGTCAACGCCTAATACACATGTGACAGGAATGATTCATTACATATTGCAGGTATCTGGAAAGTTTTATAACCATTGAAATGAAAGAATAAAGATCTGTTGCCCTATGTAAAGGAGATTTTAAAGTCTTATGATTACTTTGATATGAATATGAGTGATAAATCCTGTTCGAAATGTCATCCAGTGAATAATACAGTATCATGGTATGCTACGTTGAATAAGTAATCTCATATAGAAAAATGGCACTTTGTTGTTTTAGACAACTATTTATTCTGTTCATAGCAGTCGTCATTTGCTGTGTAGCTGTTTCTGTGTGTATACTTCGATACATTATTTTCATTCACTTTTTTTCAACTTCTAAATAACCTTTTTGCGTAAAGTTTAGTCACTTGAACTGCTTATAAGAACACTGATTATCACTAACCGACTGTTCTCATTTGAAACTGTCTAGAGATTCACGACCAGGAATATATGCACCTGCATATTTATGCATTTTCGAAAATTTGCAGACATATACTACTTTTATGTGTTTCCGTAGTCTGTGTAAGTTGTTATTATTTATAAAATATTATATTTGATGTATCATTCAGAAATATAGTCACTCATAGGTGACACTTTTGTTCTACGACTTAAAATGTTGTCTGCAATGTGACAAGTACTAAGCCACATCAGTAAAGTGGTAAGCAGCTAAAATATACATATCAACTGCCTTTTTAGTGGCTCATAAATAATGTTTGTGAAAAATGAATGTACTGTGACTAGTGAAGAAAAGGTACAATAATGATAGCAAAAATAAGAATTTAAAAAGATTGTAATATTATTATTATTATTATGAAGACTTGCATTCAATCATAACATATTCCGAAATTCGTTCATAGTTTAAAACTGCTGCATTTCTTAAACAATCACGAATTGCATTTCGAATAAGTTCAGCAGATGCAGGTTCACCGGTTTCTTTAGTCAACACCTACATTTTTTAAAAACAAATAAGGATAAAAATTATTCATAAATTCTCTAAGAGACGAAATACACTACATATATATTTAATTCCATTGAAATGAGACTATATCTTAAGTTGTAGAGCGTTGAACAGTCCATCCTGGTACTGTTAATTTCCATCCAGTTAAAATTCAACTTTTTATAAAGTTCATCCAATCATATGATCTGTGAAATGGGTTCACCTGGGTTAATTTAGTGATCAGTAGCCTATTAGATCTTCACCCAAAGTTTGACATATTACAACCGATTGAACATCAACTGAGATAGGATAATCTGAAATACATTTGGTAAAAAAATACCTTTGAAGATTCTTATGAGAATGATTTACTAAAAACAGATGAGTGTTTCAATCGTTGAAAATCTTATCCCTTAAATGAGTGTCAAAAGTAGGTGAATTTAAATAGGCAGCAGTCGATTCAATCAGCTTTATGTCTGATTAGGTATCTGTATTGTCCAGCAATCTGTAGTGACTACAAAATGTTAGTCTACACTAGAAACACTTGCTGTTGACATTTTATCCACATCATATTTTGACAAAATCTTATGAGAAAACTTGTAGTTCAGGATGACGATGACAATTACCTAGTGTTCACTGTGCTGTGATGATGCCTTATCATCAAACTAAGTGACTTTATCAGCATCACCATGAAAATGAGTTTAGATACAAGCGTTATTATAAGAATTAAGTAATAACACTATCCCTGAAATGGCAGTAGTAATAAAAATGAAAGAAATGCTGCAAAAGTGTGAAAACCGAAGAGCCATGCAGTATAATAATAATGATAAGACGTGATTTACTTTACATGTAGGTATGGGAAGTTGTCACCTGTGGGACCGATGCCTATCATTGGCACTGAATAGTGAACATGCTCTATAGCCAGTCGACAGAAGTAGGGAAATATGAACCAATTATTTCAATGCAGTATCTAGATGACGAAACTTGTTTGTCATTAGCTTGACCCTTCATTGGTTCATGAGTGTGCACTACGTAGAAGTCCTAAACTAAGATAGAATAGCTATCCAGAACTCATAGGTTTTCAATGGTTCTTTAACTGACATCAACCCGGACTGAAAAACCCAAAGCGAAATATTTACGAATGGTAGTAATTCCCTCTTGATTATTATACTGGACTGAATCTATCGATTTCTGTTGGTATATGAAATCCTTGAACGGATGTCTCGATACTGCTTCATGTTTCATTCTGATGTTATCTGGTTGACAATGGCCAGCCGTAGAACTCCAGACCAGAATCCTAAATAGAACGAACTGCGAGTCCTGGGATCCTGTACTATCCACCACCAAGTAGACGACATAAAAATCCTCTTGCTTTTCACTGTAAACACAACTTGATCACTCCATTTTACCAGAAATATCTAACGTGAATACTTGACTTCATCACAAGTAAAGTTTGACTTGTACTTAGTGGTTAATTTATCATTAACTGCTGACTGGCTGAGGGTTATATTTATGGTATTAGCCTAATATCGATGAATTTCAAAAGTCCCTGGACTTTTGAACAAATAATTCCTACTGACTGAATATCATTTAAAAAACATATGTATTAAGAACTCCTAATGGTAGACTGAAATTCGAGTGAACGTAGAGAAGACGGGGGTGATGAAGATACCCAACGAACAACAGCATGAACAACAAGAACCACCAATCACCATCAACAGAAGAAATCTAAAGGTAGTAGTCTCTTCCACCTACCTAGACAAGGCAGCGTCGTCTCAACTACAAATGGTGGCACAGGCACAGATGAGAATGTCAAAGCCAGCATTGGAAAAGCAAGACAGGACTTCATAAACATGAAATCAGTGTGGAGATCCACTGTACTGCACTCTGCTCGGCATAAAGCGTGAAAAAGATCCAGATTCTTAACACTAATTCAGTCAAGCCAATGCTTCTATATGGTTCAGAAACTTGGCGCTTTACGAAAAGCATTTCCATCAAGCTACAGACATAGCAACCATCATCAAAAGGATGTGATTTCAGTCTCGAAAAACCCTATTAGTGTCAATACTAACTCCACTATGTTTTGGGAAAATGTAGCAAACTGATCACCGTGAAATTACGAATTTATCCAATAAAAAACATGAAATACACTGTTTCGAAAACTTTAGTTGCTTCATCACTAGACCCCATTCAACACAAAGGATTTGAAAATGAGATCAGACAATGACTTTTGCTAATTTAATTGACAACAACTTAGAGGAATTTCATTACGTCAGATGTTTGAATCAATGAATGATTGCTTTATAAACTTGACTGAAATTCAGTGAATCTACAGATTGTAACATAGCTCCCAGTAATATGATTAACCCTCACACACGAAAATTTGTCTCTCTTGTAGTTGGATACACTAACCTGTAACAAATGATGAGAAATGTTGATTCACCTTTATATTCATTAATACTTAACTGTGTATTGTTTCTAAATGTTCATTTTTGTTTTTACTCCCCAAGTTTTATTCCAAATAAGAACTAGAGCGTAGGAATTTAAACTCAGTGATAAAAGTGTTTGCAGTTTTATTCATTTTGCTGAACCATCAAAAGACAAGTATAAATGCTAGCCATTGATAGAATGCAACAATCCTAATTCATCATGAAGTTCACTGAAGTTATGTGAATATTGATTACTGATTTCCTGTTATCGATAAAATGAAAAACTGATGGATTTAACCCTTTGAAGAGTTAGTGAAATGAAATACTGATCAAAATACAGATATTGAGACTGTAGTTAAAACGTTCAACGATTGTCACCCATCGATCAGCTTCACATCAGAATTTGAAGAGAACTTGGAATTCCATTTTCTAGATGTTTTACTGAAACGGAGACCAGATGGTTCTCTTCGGCTATCAATTTATAGGAAGCCTACTTGGAACGGACAATATTTGAATTTCCACAGCTGGATGCCTCTCAGCAGAAAGAGGAATCTAATCCGTTCTTTATCTTCCAGAATCAAAAGAATTTGCACGAGTGATATTATCGACGATGAATTAGATAAACTATGGATGATCCTCATGCAAAACGGATATCCATCCAGATTTATCGATAAGAACTTGAAAGTAAATCAGAATACGGAGCGAGTACTCACAGTTGTTTTCAAAGGCAATACGACAGTAGAGATCCTGAAGAATCTGCTGTCCAGATCACTGAAGAAGATATGCTTCTCTGCAAAACTGCAGATTAGCTTCCCTAGTCAACAACTCATTCCGGATTGCGTTAAGGACAAGTTGCCCCTTTGGGCCACCTCGATGTGTGTCTACAAATTTACTTGCTCCTGTGGAGCTAGCTATATAGGCCGCACAAAGCGCATGCTTTCCAAATGTATCTCGGAGCACTATTCTGCGTGGTTGTCGAATGGAGAATGTAAATCAATCAACAGTTCAACTCTTAAACATTTGGTCAACTCTGGACATAAAGCTAGACCAGAATCTTCCTTCAATGTCATTTATCGTGTCAGATGGAATAGTTCGAAATGAGTACACCTTCAACAGTTGTGCACAGTGGAGGCACTGGCAATTCATCAATTCAAGCCTGATCTCTGCGTGCAAAATCTCTCATCTTACCATGGTCTTAACACTTTCATTTTTTTCGATTTCATTATTATTAATTATTTTATTATTGTCACCTTCATTATGACCCTTGTCTCATTCTTCACCTTCTTTACATCTATCTATCAACAAGGACATTCAATAATTGCGTTTCTTATCCACCAACAATTTTCACCTTGTCAAACCCCTTGCCTTCCTCGACATTTCTTCTGTCTTGTTTATTACGCAACTACTTTGCATTCTTGATTCCGGTTTGTTTTTAGCACTAGGTTATTGATGTAGCTATTATACCCTATCGTTTTATAATAGACTGTTATGTGTTTATGATATATATATAAATACGACTGTACAGCTTTAGAAACATGATATCGTCGAAAAAGAAAATTTTCTTTGCTGGATTATCTTTTCTCTATAAAACATTGTCTAGTTTCTTTTGAGTTGAAGCAGTTCTTTAACTGATAACAGTTAATGAAAACAACTATCAAATGAAAAGGATCATCGAAACAAATCGTCTTTATTATCAACATCCACTTTTTCCTGAGCTAAAATGTCTTCTTCCATAGAAAATTTTATTTGAGTGGTTACCTTAACTTACATGATATCTACTCTGATGAGCTGTAATGGATGAATGGGGAGTAGGTGGATAGAAAACGTTATCAGACTGTAACATGAGATAAGTTGATGAAACCACTCAGTGTTTGAGACTTTTGTAGAAACAGTACAACCATATAGAAATATTCTCTTTGTAACTTCAAAATATTAAACATTGAATTACTTCCTTCTTTTTCCATATTCTTCGTGTTTCATGTAATATCAACATTTTCAGAAGTTCTCTTTCTTGAATTGTTGCTAACTAAATCAGTACACTTTCAAGAATAATTTCATGTTTGTCTAGTTTCTTCATGATATACATCTTCATTTCATTTATAATAGTTTTATGCAGATATTTCATCATTTATTATATGAATTCTTCCGTCTTACATAAGGTCATCAATACAGACTCAATACACTATCACATTAAATTTTCAGTATAATCGTTCACGTAGCCATTACTTCTTTTCTGATGTTTTTATGCTTATCTGATTAATTCACTAATTCAAATGATTGATTACTTGATTTGATTTATTCAGAAAAATAAACGTTAATGACAAATATTATTGTGCCTAGAGTTCAATCAATGGATGTTTCTATTCTGAATGAATGTCTTGGAATATCTCTTATATAAATTAGGCGTTTCACAGTGATAAGAAAAAAACAAGTGTAATACAGCAGTAGGCATGTTTACCATAGGCATATAGATAGCCTTTATTGCAGTATTTTTCAAGACTTCAAGCCTTCTGTTCGAAGGAAACAAAACTGAACATCAATGAACCAATTTTTTCTCAGTCATTTAGCTAAAACAAACGGGATTAATACTTCAATTTTTACCATATATATATATATATATATATATATATATATATATATATATATATATATATATATATATATATGGATGGCATAAGAAGTCACAAACTCCTAAATTAATTTACCTGTGCTTATTAGACAGGTTAAGATTAGGCAAAACTCGTTTAATCGTCCAGCCTATTTATGCTTGGATTTATTAATCAAGCGATATTTCATATCATGCGTCGTCCACTTTATTGTTAATAGACTTGAGAATATTCAGTAGACTTAAGTCTTTTGCTTTTCAAAACGAAATACAGTAGAAAAGCACCAATTAACTTCATTCAATTCTGTTATTTGCGTTTCCATACTATGATTTTACCCTCAACTTTTTCTAAGAGATTTCAAAAAATTCAGTGAAAATTAATTTTATTATTTATGAACGCCCTACTCAAGGACAATTGCCCTTTTTCTGAATGCTTATCGGCTTACCGAGTAGTCTGATTAAATGACTGTCAAGTCAGGGAATGGTATATTTTAACTTATATTGGAAATTTCCATTAGTAAAAGCGTACAAAAATGGTTCAAAGAAGAATATGCCTAAAAATTAGGACACTACTTACTCTTTCCAAAAGACTTATTGTCTTTTCTAAAGCACCTTCGGGACGACCAAATGGGAAACAATAGCGGAATTCAGTAATTTGCTTTTCTAATAAGGTTGTTAATCGTGCTTTGATAGCTTGAAATTGATCACGTTCCACAGCTAAAACTGTATGTACAGCTTGATCATGCTGACTGTTTGTTTTAATGTCATTGGATGATATATTTTTAAGGTTAAAAAAAAAGAAAATGTTTAAAGAGAAAAGTACTAATAAAGTCTAGTTAGACTATATGAAATAGTCTTTATTCAAAAAGTTACGTTTATATGTAAACAAGGTTGATAACTCGCACTAAAAGAGACCCCAACAATGTTAGGATTTCAACCTGTTACCTTGGTATTACTGACCTCCTATTCCTTTAACTAAATCCCGACAATCAACTACCCTTATTTCCTCGAGTCAGCTCAAAGATATTCTCTGGTATCCTATACAAGTATGGTCTATGACTATGCAAGGAAAATTAAGAATATCTCATTCACAGGTATGCTGAGTAAATTTTGTGAAGGCCGAAGTGAATTTAGGAACTAGTTAGCAGTTCAGTCACATATCTAAGTCACTAGACCATCTGCTCAGCAACCAAGAGGTAGTTGTTTCGTATCTTGAGACTATGTGGGGTTTTCTCTCACTTTCAATCGTCAACGCTGTTTATTCTTTTGTCTTAAAATAATGAATATCTCAGACTACATGCTAAGTGTTCAAATGGAACAGACAGTTAGGTATTTTCATTTCTTTTAAGCTTGCTCATAATAATATACGACGTACGTATACACATCAAACCTCAGTAAAACTAATGGTTTATTGAAGACTCTGGCTTCAATTTGACTTGACAACCTTTGGCAAATGTCTCATCATCTACGACAGACTACAGTAATTATATAAACCAGTTCTCCATAAAACACAGTTTATGCGATTCACTTGTAGGTACCATCGAGAAATAAAATTTTTCTACTTCTTCTGACGAATATTAGCTGGCTACCGGCCATTTTTTGTGAAACATTTTAAATAAGGATATAGAAATTCTGCCAAAAATTTCACTTATCAATATTTTTCAATCAGATCTAGGTTACTGTGATCATGATCTTCAAACTATCATAAACTTTTGGTTCATCAGGTTCAGAATGCTGTACTCCTGCTCAACATATATTGACTTAATTAATTGAGATAGTTTTAGTAAGCAAACTTATGTACATTACTTGAGAGAAAAAGCTTAATTTGGTTGGTTGTGGCTAGCAGAAGAACCTAGAATGCGCGTTGCGTCATATCTGGGGCTCGTCAGCTGGATACACCTGCATCTCAGTGGTGTTGTTCCCACCGGGACTCGGACCTCGTACCCACCGCTTCAAACGCCAGGACGTTCTGTTCTTTCTCATACAATTACCAGAAAATCATGAACAGTAATCTAATTCATACTGCACTAAATTCATCTTGAACAACTGAGGTATCAATGTCTTCAAGTCAGTTTATGAACTTTAAGAATATGTGCTTCGTAGATTCTTGTGTTAGCCACGACCAACCAACTTATCATAATTTAAGGATACAGCTGAAAGTTCTTCTTCATTTATACATGTTCCAGTAATTAAATGATACTGTTACCTACTACACAAGATGCTAAATTCATGGCGTAATAAAACTATTTAATTATGATTACAGAGTCTTTATTTTGTATTATAATAGCCATACTTTAAAAAATATGTTGTACTACTAATCATTCATTTATATGTGGACATAGGTTAACTAATGCTGACATCATTTACAAATAATCTCATGTTTTTTTAGAACACGAGAATCTATATGTTGCATATCTAAACAGTCAATGTTTTTTTTTATACATTAGACTAATGAATGTAAATGTAGCAGTTCGATGATCAATGTATTGGTGAAATCTATGCAATATCAAATATAATAGTAGAAATTAAATCCAATCTTAAATGAAGCTATTATTTACGTAAATACCGTTTAAAAAAAGTTTCAAATGGAAATTTAAAAAAGTAAAGCTTTGTGCACTAGGTTATGAGCCAATTGCTACCTAGTTGCCCAGGGAAAGATAGACAAAGCGGATTTCGAAACTGATACTCATTGTTCATAAATAAAATAGTAGAACGAACAGCTATATATCATGCATTCACATGACAGTTGGATAAAAATTGCAGTGACTGAAGTGAAATTAAGGTCTGGTTAGAAGCTAGATCTAATAAATTAGTTGATAAAATCCCAACTAGGAGGCTTGTTGCTTATTCAAATCCTGTGATAACCCAGGTTTTCATTTTACTTTCTAACATCACCTAGTATTCATGATATTAGACTAATAAACCAAGGCTATCTCAGATTGTCTCATTATCAATCATAAAATTTCTTCTGATAGGCCTTATTTTCAGCGTTAGTATCACTTAAAAATCCATCATGTGATTCTTCACCTTAAAATCTAAGCGTTTACCTTCTAGTAATTATATTCTTAAATCAGAACGCCAATATTCAACTGTTAAAAGCCATAACTGGTTACTTTCAAGATATATTCTTTCTCACTTACAGTTTCAAGGTCAAGTAACTCCTCACATTTTCCATGACTTCGATTTGTCATGGAACGATGATAACCATCTATAGAAAGTTGATTGGTTCATATGCGTAACAAAAACTCATATTAAACAGGACAATGTACAATACTAAGTATTCGCACAATTTGGAAATAATAACTACCACAAGTTGATATTAAAACAGTAACCATTAAACGATAAGGTGAAGTGTATAAATGTTTCACTTCTCCTGAAATTCCTTCAGCTATCTAAACGTAACTGACTAATACTCAAGCTTTCTAACATTCTAGTTCAGTTTTTATAGACTGATGATATCGAAATTCAACCAAATTTATGGTTTAGCTTGTAATTTATTTTATCCGTTAATCAGTACTCACATAATGGAATCGGTTTACAAGTCAATCATTATACGCTGCCGAATATAACACTATTCATTTCTAGTTAATATGTAGAATAATAGCTGCCATTCACTTCACTTTTATAGCTACAAAGAGATTTCGTTAACACATATATCACATTATGAAACATCAAAAAATATATACAATGATATTAAGATTCTCTATCAAAAACTTACGCTTTCCCACTAACATGGTTAGCACATAACGAGTAACTGATATGAATTAAATCAGGATCTATACTCATACCATTTTCAATTTTATTCAATAAATTTATTAACATTGCCAAATGACGCTGACATTCACGTATACCGTAACGTGTACAATATTCATCTAATAAATGACGTTGAATTGGACTTAAGCATCCAAGTGACACAAATGGATCCTTTAAAATGAATTAAGTAATGATGTTAATCAGTTAAATAAAGTCTAAACAATAACATAATATAATTGTATTTCAGAGTATTTAAATGTTCATGAAGCTGAGATATTCTTCTGTTCTCTTCATTGTTACCTAAAGCATAGTCAGATAGTGATCAGTTCAATAGCTCATAATGTTTTTTTTCTGTTACGTTAAGTTAGTCAAGTAAGCAAAGAAATGGTTAAGTAATACCTTCAGATTTTATCAGAAATAAATAACTCATATCCACAATTTGTTACAGTTGGATGGTTTCTCTTCGAAACAAGACATATAAGCGAAGAATATTGTTTTCAATTAGATCCCCTTCAAGCTTTACTCTAATACAAATAGCTTCATATATTATAAAATTAAACCAATCATGTAGATTTGTCAGTTGAAGTGATAAATGCTTTAAAATCAAGATGGTGATAATAATACAAATGATAATAATAATTCAAGTTGTTATTCATTGTAGACTGACATCAGTTGGAGGAACAAAGGAAACCTGGGAGCACTGGACAGCTGTTTCGTCCTAGTATGGGAATTCTCAGCAGTGCGCATTCACGACTCCGCACCACCAGGGATCGAACCTGCAGCCTTCAGGTTCCACGGCCAGCACGTTGTCATTGAGCCACTGGATCAGAATCCAATGCTCCATATTTCCAACTTCTGTTAGCTCACGATATAGCGCAACCGCCACCCAATGTCATCGTTGAGTATTTGTCCTCACGGCCATCAGGCTTGACTCCACCGGTCACGACTTCTCACTGCAACTTCGGGAATACTTCTCGAAGCTAGTCACCAATGAGCTAACAGAAGTTGGAAATATGGAGCATTGGATTCTGACCCAGTGGCTCAATGATAACGTGCTGGCCGTGGAACCTGAAGGTTGCGGGTTCGATCCCTGCTGGTGGGGTGGTGGGTGCACACTGCTGAGGAGTCCCATACTAGGAGGAAACAGCTTTCCAGTGTTCCCAGGTTTCCATTGTCCCTCCAGCTGATGTCAGTCTACAATGAATAACAACTTGAAATATTTCCAAATCCCCACGACTTCCTCAAAATTCAGATGATAATAATAATGATAAAAGTGATAACATTGACTAAAGCACATGCAATATAGATGATACCGACGATGATAAGAACCAGGAAAGGAGCATGAAAGTGTAGACACTGCAGTGATCAAAGTGGTTCGAAAGATTATAAAAACAAATGTTACGCAATACTGAAGGATAAACTAAGTGGATAAACAAAACCTAGACAAATACAGTAAGTATAATTCCTACTTACTTACAAAACAAGTGAGAGATGAGTTGATAAGAAAAATAAAGTATACTGTTGTTCAAAAACACTCATAAATCAATAAGCGATTATCAACTAATGTAAGAAATCAACCCTCAAAATCTAACCATAGTCTACCACTTATTGATATTGTCTTTTGTTTTAGACATAAATTATTAATTCAACTTAAAGTGTAAGAGTATTTACAATCAACGTATTCTTTTTATAAGATGATATGTTTCCCTTTACAAAACCACAGTTTCAATATGATTTGTTATGAAAAACGCACAACCGATACTAAAGTCCATGATATTCACCAAATAAGGTAATCATACTCCAACAACTATTGAAGAACATACAAAAATCAATGAGATTACTTCTATCTTGCATAAAATTGATTTAATTTCCAACTTATTCCGTTATTGATGATAAGTCAATGAAATTCTAAATTGCTTTTGATTGATAGGATCCATGAAACAAAAGGATTTCGTTCTATTCTGTTAAATCTTTTGTCGTCAGTCACCCAGTGGTTTGAAAAGCTTAATTGCGTAACTTTTATCCTTCTAATATGCAGTGTAACTGTCACAAATTTACTGGTTAAATAGATTATCTATCTGGATTTTTCAGTGTGTACCTAGGAGCTAAAGTCTTGTGCGTTATGTTTCTTTTAACAGTCTGAAATAACTGAGTCAACAAAGAGCGGATTTCAAGAGCACCTTGGTTTGCTAACAAAGGAATGCAATTCAACCTCTGAGTTCAAGAAGAACTGGTAGTCAGTTTATCATTACATTGACAACAAATAATTGCGCTCGCTGAAAAACCCTTCACTAATTTTGAACCCTATAAATTTGTAATCTTTTTTTATCTGATTCTATTTAATTTCAGATTAGTTTTATTAGGAGTTAAAAATTCCCACTAATGTTCTAATCTTTTATCTTATCCACTCATTCGTTTGCTACAAATAACGATTTCTGCCAGTATGTGACTGTCTGTTAAGCTATCTAAACTTATCCATTCCAGAACATTCGTCAACCTATCTTATAAACTCGAGTCTAGGTTCACAGAATTTTTATTTAACATATATATATATATATATATATATATATATATATATATATATAACACCTGAATTATCTTTCTTTTAATTCTGCATTTCCAGCACGTGAAACAATATCCCAAAAACTTATATGTTTATCTTTACATTTTTATCACTTGTTTAGTTATTTAAGTTGTATACAGCTCATTAAAATGATATGAAATAACATGATGACCTCATCAATGCATTATTCAACGTAGAGAAAAATTCAGAACTGTGAAGACATATCTATGCATTGCTTCATAATACGTCGATATATACAATCCCATGTAATAATCTGTTTCACTGTAGTCAAAGCAAGGAAAATAAAAGTCTCACAAATTACTTAAAAGGACTTTATCATTAGGATTTTTATCTTTAGCCTCCATTTAAGTGTATTTCACAAGATTGTCTAGTTAAAAGATACTGTTTAATCATTTGTTTATGTGATCTTTTATCCTAGACTACTGACTTAATAAGTCAGTAGTTGGGCTCCAATTGTAGTAATACACTTATTGCTTTTAAATGTAACGAAATCACAAGTTGCCTCATGGACTGTAAACAAGTATAAGAGAATAAATACAAGGTCTATAACCTTCTATAATTTATATGAACGTAAGGAAGAGATACGATTTGACTCTTTTTGCTTTTCTTAGGAAATGAGTACAAAAACTGATTATTCTAAAGCTTAAATAATCTATACCTTCATAAGTTATTGTAGACCATTAGTTATTTCTAAGCTATAAAATACAAGACTAGGAGAAAGTGTTGTATAAACAGCTTCATTCAGCAGTTAAATGACAATTTAACCTCGAATCTTTTAACCATCCAATCCATTAATTTTGATCAAATTTGTTATTTTCAGCTTAAAATATACTTCATAATCAGGTGAAATTATCAAAATTTTGGTCATTCATTATTAATTTTTTTCAAAAGACAATCAACGCATTGTTGAATGATATGAAAAAGTTATAGTGAAAAATTATCAAGGTGAAAAAAGGTTCATAGTCATACTAACATAGTGTAAAATGAACATACCGTTAGACGATAGTCTAAACTCAAAGACTGTAGAAGAGAAAAATATTCTAAATGATCAAGTGTATGAACAGGTGTAGTAGCAAACTCTTCAATCTTTTTCGTTTGACAAGTTTCTACTTCAACAGTACCTACTAAAATAAAGAAATTACTGGATTAGTTTAAACCATAGCTTTCAAAATATTACTTCTTTGATTAACATCCCTCTAAAGACTTCTGAAGTAGCACTTGACTTTAAAAGAGTATTTGATAAGGATATCTGTCATTTATTACCACATTAGCTAAATCTGCTAACATATGATAAATTAATTTAACACCTGACCTTCAAGAAGTTGCTCTCAGAGTTATAGAGCATTTCTACAACATCAGTTCGTATAGCTGAATAACGTCACAAGACATTAAACATTCAGTGTGGTTGATAGACTAGTATCTAAACCTGTGTAAGGTTTCTGAATTGAATTGTTACACCATTCTTATCATTAATCATCACCGTTAACATAGAATTAGGCGTTACTGCATACTGGTCAAAGTTGACACGGTTCATATCAGCACATCGAGAGAGAAAGCACTAAGGTGAATTATTAAGAAATGAAAAAGACTCAGTCAGGAGTAATAGAAAGCAGAAAAAGCGGAGGAGGAATACGAAAATACTGAGTTCAGTATGACGATTAAGACGAGTATAGCCAGTGGATACATCTGCACAACTTAGAAAGGTTCTGAATTATCTAACCAAGAGTTTCCAACCTCCGGCTTCGGCTGTCACATGGACCCGAACCGGGAAGCCTACAATTCTCTACATGGCTTAGACTAATAGCCAAGACTTCACATACTGAAGTTATGTTTGAGTCTAGTCACCTCAAGCCTTTTTCTAGCCTAAACCTATTTCAGCTAACATTGTGTGATGAGATAGACTGGGACTAGGCATGTACAACACATTTCCCAGCCACTTCAGTCGATGAAGGTTCACAGTTTCATCAACTGACTTTACCCCTCCTCCCTAAAACTCTACGCCTGACTTCTACGTCACTGACATCGTGATACCACAACAGAAGACCTATGCTGTGAAGACAACAGTGATCAAATACCTGAAGCCTTCTCGTATCCTCTACCTTTGATGGTCATCTTTTATAGTAATACAGTAGAATAAAACGAATTGCTGCGCAGAACAACCGACCATTAATAAAAAATCGAATATCGTACAGGCTCTATAGATAGCAAAAGTCAGGCGAGCGTCCCGTATCCATGCGGAGATCTCGCTAGCCACTCACAACCGCCCTACAGCTGTTCCGACTCCCCAAGTTAGTGAAGAGATCGATGCAGTCAACCCTTTCACTCCCCATCGTTAGAGACGGCACCAAAGAAAACCAGTTATGCAGCAACAGTTTTCGTTTGGATAGTGAGAAACCCATCCCAAACATTCTCAAATTGCCGCTCAACGTGTCGAGAAGAGTTAACATCTTTCCAGGATCGACATATAATTTTCTGCATCCCCTAGATCTATCGAGGATTCTCTTGTGGTAAGATCAATCACTGTGAAGTAAGAAGAGAGGAAGACATGCATAGGAGTGTTTATGACGAAACTGAACAGCAATGAAGAGATTGTCGATCCTTGACGAACACCACTCAATGCATATAACTCAACATGAGCCGAAACAAGCCCACAGATCTCGGAGTAAAAAGTCTTCAATAAAGTGATATACTCACTCGATTCTCTTTTCAGTGAGAGACACTAGCATAAAACCTCTCGGTCTGCTGAGTCGAATGCCACCTTCAGGTGTTACGCGTTAATGATCATTCCTGCTTTCCAGAACCTGGCGAAGTGTGAGCATCTGGTCGATACACCTGTGGTCATGTCCACTGTTTCCAAGCTCCACTCAGACGTTCAATGGTCACAGAACTTAGAACCTTAGACACCACGTTCGTTGGGGTAATTACTCTATGGTTATCACAGGTACACTTCTTACCTTTCTTGAAGACTGGGACAACCAGTGGTTGAGATTAGTCCGAAGGCATCATATATTATTCCCATACATTAGTTAACACTTCAACTAACTCGAGTAAAAATCCTTGACAGTGGTTCTTAAATACCTCCGAAACAAGTCCATGCGGCCGTGCACCTCTTTCTTGTTAAAGGTTACTTACAGCTTTCACGACTCCTCCAAGTGTCTTGGGTCTTATATTGATGTTCTATTCAGGATCGGTTGGATAGTGGGAAGCGAAACAGTAGTTGGAGGCAAGGTGAACCGTTCCTCGAAGTGTTTCACCCATTGTTCCAGTTTTCTCCCCTGCAAGTGAATCACACACCCATCCCTCTACATTATAGTCCCCAACTGACCATTTAGCTTCAGTTTCCCTAGTAATTTTGAATAACTGACTACTGTTACCTATCATTGCTGTTTTTTCATCTATTTGGCCTTCGATGCCCTGCACCGTTCACAATCATTGCTTAGACTCTTAAGGGTCTAAATTTGAGCTGAATTCGCTCCTCATGGTAGTTGGAGCATGCAGAACGTGTCTACATTCATCCATTAATTCAGAAGTAGCTATTACGACTCAATGGGTCTTTCTAACCACTCTCTGAAAGTCAGCTGTGGTCTTCAACACTATTTTTTACAGCAGACTGAAGATGGTTCCAAGCTTCTTCTGGGTTAGTGACAGTTCCGATAACTTCCGGGCCAGTTTCTCTCTGAAATCAGCTTAAGTGATCTCGCTGTTGGGCTGTACTCACAATAGTCATTTTGATAAAGTTTTTCCAAGCTCGTTTAGATGCAGAAAGATATGCGCTCGAACCAACGATTGGTAGCTGTCTGAATACATGCTCCAGAAAAAGCATCAGTCATCCCCTGACTGTTTACAGCGATGACTGATAGTGATGTGGCCTATTTGCGTCCATCGCTGGGTAGATGTCGGTGGACGCCACGTCAGACGATGTGTCCTTATGTTTAAAGTTTGCGCTGGATAGAAAAAAAGGTTGTCTTAGGACAGTCGAAGCAGGAGATCACCACTATCTGTCCTCTAGGCTGGGATTCCGAAAGTGCCACTTAAGTGATTTTCCGCCTGACTTAACCTGCCCAATTATGGATTGATACCGTATACTATAACAAACACAACTGAAATTTCGGGTTTCACCAGGAGGCTAGCTAGTTTTTGGTAGAACTATTCATTCAATTGGTAATTTGGAATAGGGCTTTAGGAGACCAGTGACGCTGTCCTGTGAACTCAGGTTGTTTTCAAGAACTGAAGAATTGGAAGGAATTAAAGATGATGTAGGATTACTGACCGAAAGGGGTGAATGAAGGTTGAAAGGTGTGGGTGTGGTAGGTGGACAGTGATCTGAAGGAACTTCAGTGCTAACAGAATTGTGAGGCGGTCGTCACTCTCTGGTTTCCCACACTGTGGAGGCCAGGTATTCTTGAGGCACCTGAAAAAGAAAGGTCCATGCGTGACCACAGAGTTCAAGTGATATCTGCTTGAGGCTGATCACATACGGCCATTAGAAGAGACCTTTTAAAAGTGTACAACAAGTGCTACTCATGCCATTCATTCAGTAGTACTCCTGGCGCAGTTTTTCCATTCCCTTTCTTGACATCAATAACAGTGTTCAGCACATCACATTGCCTTTTCTCGTTCAATAATACGGTTGAATTTTTTCAATTACGACGCACCTCATTGTTTCATACTCACCTTTGACTGTAAATTGTGCATGAGACTGACTTGATTCACAGTATTCATACTTCAAATCAAGGTGTTCTGTTCACGATTCGTGCACTGACTTTCAGACTGCTGTTAGAATGGCTTTGTTTAGACTTCTGTGTGAACTGTGATCAGTCAACAATCAAAAGGAATAGATGGATATTGGAAAAAATAAACTAACAATCTCCAGGCAGTTACTCAAAGTTTACTATATTCTGTACAAGCAAGTAAACTTTGTATTCTGAGACAAGCCTGACAATTTCCAAACACTGGTTGATTGTGTCATGAAATATAGCTTTTCCTGGCAGACCAGTTATTCATTGCCCTGAAATATCATTGTCTAGGAAATATGAAGGCTTCCATTATACAGTAAGTTATGTCAACTTTTTCAAGTAACTCTGACAAAAAGTATATTTCTACCACTCTGATAACTATGCCGAATAGCACTAAATGAAGTCAGGTTGGTCAGGCAAGAGTAATTTCATCGGAAATAATACAAAGCTGGATATTTTGATACGGTTGCCATATCTATTGTTGACAAGAAGAAAGTATAATAAACAATTTCTGACTACAAAATTCTCTTTTACTTCTGTGAATGTGGAAATTCAGTGTTGTAGGAAATGAGTACATTGTAAATGCGATGCAGAAGTTGAAATAATAATCAAAACAGTATTGATTTTGTTAGTCATCATTTACTAACTTGTCTTTTCCTGGAATCTTCAAGAAGTTACTGAACTAAAGAAACACTATGAGCTCAATCTGCCTATAAAGTAACCCTTTAAGTTGGTCTAACGATGACTCTACTCATCGAATTGAAACTGTTAGTCAATTGACTCATGGATTAGCATTTCAACTATACTTGTTAAAACAACCAGCAATCAGTAGACTAACTGTCCAATTTTATGATTCTTAGTTTGCCGGAAATTACCACCGCCTATATTATTTAAAGTACATTTAGTTGTCAAATGCAGGGTGCTATCGTAGGACCATCTGACATTAAAAATCACTCTTCACAAGCATTGATCAAGAAAATAAAGAAGTTGTTATTTAGAGGAAACTTTTCTGAAGTTCATAAAGGCGAAAATCTCTCTCTTTCATACTTTGATGCATAGACTCACACCAGTTTTTCTAATATATAGTTACTCCACTGATCAGAAAAGTTGTTTAAAATGAAACACTTATAATAATGTCCAGTCCACTATTGTTACCTATGAAAAAGACTTGCCACCATATTATATTTCAAGACAAACAGAAGTTAGCAGAACTGAGGTTCATTTGATGGCATAGACCAGCATCATCGACCAATTCTTACACATACGCTCACTACATATTTAGAATTTTAGTAGTGACTGCAATAAAACTATTTTTTCTGCAGTACAAAACTTGATTTGCTGCTGTTTATTTAGATTGTAATTGATCCATTAGAAAAAGATACATAATCTAAATTGTGAGATAAAATTCACTGAAAAGGACATCCTCATGTTTCAGATAAAGGTTTTTTCGTTGAAGCCTGATCTTATTGAAATTAACTTACGAAAAAGCATCAAAGATACATTATGTTAGGATATTTCAGAATTTCGGCTATAACACGAAATGGAAACGTCTTTTCAGTGTGCTTGATATGTTTAATCCCGTGGTTGGTCAAGAAAAAGTGTACTACCTGCTTCAAGTAGAACCACTTTTAACTGTCATCTCTTGTTCAACATAACAGAATTAAAATGTTCTCAAATTCAATTGGTAGTTTATTTTCATGACTGGTTGATAACAGTTTGAAAACTAGTAAACACATAGGAAGAGTGGACAGGTTTTTCGTCCTAGTATGGAACTCCTTAGCACAGTGTGTAACCATAACCTCATGAGGAATGTAATACACAACTGTCAGGTCTCTCAACAAACACGTTACCATTCAGCCACTGGAATGGAACCCAATGGTTTGTTATCTTCAACATAACTCAAGATATATTAAGATAATCAATCGAAGCCTATCGCTGGTGAACAGTCGATGGTAGATCAATTAGAAGTTTTGGAGATTGAACGACTTCAAGGCAGTTGTTCATCACCAACTAACACAGTTGGACAACCACTGAAAACCTGGGAGAACTGAATACATGTCTAATCATAGTTGGTGACTTATTGGCAGTGTGCAACTACCATAAGACTTTTACTTAGCCTGAATAATCAAATACTGAACAATTCCTAAGCGTTTTACCGATAGAACTTCATAGCCTTCCTAATGATTGCCACCCAAAAAAGGTTTAAGGATAAGACATTAGACGTGTAATGAGGATTATGTGTATCAATATTGTGAGAGCTAATCTTTGTGTATGCAGGCAATAATGATATTGTAGAATGTCAGCATACTGTTGCATCAAACAATCACATTGAAAAAGCGTTACAAAATAATCTTACTCTTACCTTGGTCAGTTTTGATTACTGTACTACTCGATGCTCCTGGTGGTGTGGGTTTGTGTGTCTGACCAGTAGCTCGATAAAGTGCTTGCATCCAATTATGACGATCGACTTCAGAAGATGAGGCAACAATCAAGGTGTCACCTTCTCGAACAAGTTTAAAGAAAAATCTTGGTGTGTAATCACATTCTGGTGAACCGATTGGGCCACTTCCAACATTTCGTTGACTTGTTATACGAGCTAGAGTACTAAATTTTAGTCGTGATAGTGATGTAAGGGATGAAGTCGATGAATGGTGTTCAGGTTTACCATTTCGTCCAAATGCAGCCATATTTATTAAATCTGTTCGATAGGATTATAGATATTTACGTTACACTAGTAAATAACCAACTTTCTATGTCTTTTGTGCATAAAGTTAATTAATTATACAAGAAATATAGTCCTAAAATGGTATGAATATTTACAAGGAAATCCTAGGGAACATAGCCCTTTATCTGCTATTAACTGTATGATTAAGTCTCAGGATGTTTGAGTCGATTCTACTCAGGGAACAGGTATTCTGCACGTTCATGACTTTCCCTTTTAAATAGTGAGCACTGAAATCTCAAAACATATTCTACTTATACCTAAGTAAGACGTTATACATTCGTCAACAGTATCAGATATTCTCTGAGAAGTATATAACTGATTTCAATTCACAATGTGTCTAATGTTATGATGATCATATTAGTTACAACGTAATATACAAAACAAATATGAGTTATTAATCCCTTCTATCTGGAACTAAGGCACCAGCGCTGATGACCTATTTTTGTTTTATTTTAAACCTGATATTGAGCCTAATCACATTTATCAGGTTTGAATTACTTATTTTTGCTAAAACTAAGGAACAATGTAGATGAAAATGGGTAGTCTATAGATACCAAAGAAAGACTACCTAAAATTGTCTACAAAGAATCAACAGTGACATGATACATGCATCAGTAAAAGATGAAGATGTTATAGTCTGCTATCAGGTTGAATAACTGTCACAGCCAATTGTTGTCAACCAATATTCAAGCAATAGTGACTTATACATTTACAAACCTAACGCGGTAAGAATAAGAATAAGACCAGCTGAATTCAAGAACTCTATCTCCGTAAATGAAAATAACGCTTCGAAACACATGAGTACCTATATACAATGATTTTAAGCTTTCTCCAAACTTCAGAACAATATATTCAAAGGAGTATCAATGAACAACAGATTACCCTTGAAAACGGTGGAAAAAACAATCTACTAGTGAAAGTTTAGGAAAAGTTACAAAAATGGTAAATCCAAACTTATGAAAATATAAAAAAAACCCATTAGGGCAGTAATTAGGCATCCTAACTCAAATTCAACCGAAGGTGATTATAAAGCTAATGTAGCACAACATAACAGTGTGATGCACTCACAATAAGGCCCTTTAAACAGTTTTTAATACCATGATAGCAATAGTTCATACTAAATACAATTTTTGAGGTTTTTGACGATTTATTTATTGGTTTTAATTTGTTGTTCATCATCAACTGACATCAGCTGGACAAGCATTGAAAACTTGGGAGCATTGGATGAATACCTACCTGAAATCTGTAAAGAATTCCCAATAACTTCCAAACTGAACTTCTGTTAAGTGCTCATTAGTAATTTGCTTCGAGATGAAATTCTCAAAAATCCTAATGAGAAGTCGTGATCACTGGGGCAAACCAAGTCTTCAGTGAAGACAGTTACTCAACGATGGCATTGAGTGGAGGTTGTGTTATATCGCGAGCTGTTAGAAGTAGGAAAATGTGAACCAGTGGTTTCTAACCAAGTGACTAAATGTCAACTTGCTGACTACAGAACCTAAATGCTCTGGGTTCCGTCTCTAGAGAGGCCATAGGTGCGCATTGTTGAGGACTACTATACTAAAACTGATGTTTAATTTAATTGGTGTGAATTACTGGGTTAATGAATAATCTACAACAATCCATATTCAGTATTGATACGCAGCGATAAAAAGACAGCCAGTAGAGAAATTGTTTTCAGATAATGATTTATGCATGCACTGACAGGATTACCTGATTGGACAAGTTCGACGTCATACAACAAATCGCATTGGTTCATTTATGGCTTCATTTTCTGAGAGTTTGTAAATACATATACACCATGTGTTTTTTTTACCAAAGTTGCTGTCATTAACGTGCTGCGGTCACAGGCCGTCTCTTGTCTCCTAATTTTTCGCGGCTCAGTGAAGTATAGGGTGTGGGGGAGAACAGTCGTATTACTCGTATCCAGTCCAAGTATCTCGTTCGCATATTATTAGAACCCACACCATACCACCTCATCTTCAGTTACATCAAGTATGAAAATTCTTTTTACTATTTGTATATTTACTTAGGCATACAGACAAACTTCCTCAGATTCCTTAACAGGCTGTGATTCTGTACGTTCCGTTTTCCTACTAACAGCTTGAATAATTCTCACAAACTCCACCGAAAAAGTGTTCTTAAAATGATATTCGAATGACACTAAGCAGTCCATTGCTAACTCAAGACTGTATTAAACCATCAAGTCTGGAGGCTTATCATCTCAGTACACTTTGATTGGTGTTAGATGGTTAGAAGATAAGGGAAGGAAGCCCTGAACTTTGGTTTCGTGCTTGTTGACACTCGTTGGACAGTTTCATAAAATGTTAATAATGTAGAAAGAATAAAGACTATTTTTCATCGCATCACATTAGACTGTTTGATACCACTCACACCTGGCAATCAAAACTCCTATGGTATGTTATGTTGGTTTAACTAGTCTCTGTATTTTGGCAAGGCAGTTCACAAATATATACTATTAAGGTAGCAGTCAGATGTTTGGAAGACTGTTCAGCTATACGAAATATGAGTCAGAACTACGTCTAGATTGTGTACAGACTTTGTCAAATATTAACTGTTCTGACTTATCCCTAGCGTATGGTGATTGATAAGGGAAAGATAAAAAATACAGTGAAATTCCCCATTAAAAATTGCATAGTGCAAAAGCAATTATAGTAGAACTCAAGACGTTTGTAAAGTTCGTTAAATGTTTCAACAGAAGAGTAAATAATTCGTATGCACAACAAAAGAATATGGTTGGATGATTAATAAAGACATTGTACGTGCTCTACATTAGAATACGCACAAAGTTAGTCACTAGACGAATGTCTTTAAAGGTTACGCTAGCACCTGGTGAAATGACCAAACAAGCTTCCGTATTTCTCATGGAAAAGTACTTTCCTATAAAATAAAGGAATGTTACTAGGATAACTTTTAAAGTCACCTTCACTAGACAGTTACTTCTCTCAACTTTCCTGATGAATTAAGCCGTATAAGCAGCGAATAAGAAACTGTTTATGGCTGAGCTAATTACAGCATATTAGTGACTATACTAACGTTAACTTGTAGTAGAGTACTAGTCATAAACATTTATCACAACTGTGAATGATGATAAATGGCTTCTTATGATGATATGTTCAATTAATGGTCTTTGTTATCACTTTACTTGTAAATAAGCAAAATTAAAAAAAACTCCTATAGTCGATGAAAATTAGGAATATAGTTTAAGTTTCTATAAATTCATAATTCTCACCTTGGTCTATTCATGAAATGAACAGTATCACCTACCTTAATTGTCTTTTCGATTTTGGGTGATTATATCAAGAAAATTAAAAATCCAACTGACTGTCTATACAACCGACAGTATTGAAAAAGCCACTACTAGGTACTTTGCAATACAAGTCAATATCATCTTAACCTTTGTGCTGTTAGACAATATAAAAGCTATTATTATTATCATTATTTGTCCCTTCGGTTACTAGTGAAACATAGGGCTTCACTTGCACGTCTCCATTCCACTCTATTCTCTGAAATCTTTGAAACCTGCCTTCACGACAACCTAGAAGCTCTCATTTCTTTCTCACACGATCTCCTCCATGTCAGCCTCACCTCGGGTCTGATGCGTGATGTCCCCGAATGCTCTTCTCAGTGTGTGCCAAATCCATCTCCACTTCCTTCCGTATATTTGTTGAGCGATAGCTTCTTGGTTGGTTCGTTCCCAGAGTTCCTTCTTGCTTATTCTTTTGGTCATCTGAGCTCCAGTACCGAGCGTAGGCAGTTGTTGATGAATATCTGTAGTTTGTTGGGAATGCTTTCCGTAACGCACCAAGTCTCTCAACCATCACATGGAACCAGTGACTTGACTGAATTAGTGTTGAAAATCCGGATCTTGTTCACGCTTTATGCTGAGCGGAGTACAGAAGATCTCCACACTGGTTTCAGGTTCATGAACGGCTGTGTTGCTTTTCCGATCCTGGCTGACTTTGACGTCCTTGTCTGTGCCGCCGACCGAAGTTGAAACAGTGCTGCCTAGATATATGAAGGAGGCTACTTCCTTCAAGTTTCGCCCGTTGATGGTGATTGGAACTTGTTATAAAAGCTACAGTGGTCTTTAATTTAAAGTATATTTAATTTTGAAACAAAATGATTACTTTGCTACCCAAGTTATTGTTAAGTATAACTTATTTTTTGTAACAAACAAACCTTACGATTGTATAGTAATGATAAATAGTGGCTAACAGTGGAATCCAGGATGCATATTTCGCCCATTTACAGGCAATAACAATAAAAACTTAATGATTGCTAGAAAATACTAATAGCATAAATGAAATAATCATAAATTTTCATTACCTGTTCTTGGTTCACAGTAATCTACAGTAAATCCATCCAGTATAATTAACTCTGAAGGCTGAAGCTTTTGTTCAGCATAGGTTGCCAGTACTGAGGTATACTGTGATATCTTCATATTGTTTTTTAGAACAAGAAACACATAAATGAACAAAGGAATTAATGAAATATAATTGTAGACATATGTTTTTATGTTAGAAAACAGATTGGTGATTAAAATGTTTTTGATAAGCATTGACAAATTAGTATTGAGTATAATATTGCATGTATATATTTCAACTTTATCAGTAACTTCAAACCTATCATTGACTTTCGACAACACTTAAGAAATATGTATCCTGCACTTGGATTTTCACAAAAAAGACAATTCTGAACATTGTAGATAGATGTGAAGGGACTGTAACGACTAAAATGTAAATATTCTGATCAGAATGTAGCTCACAGGTTGGAAAAGGTTTCGACTAGACAAAAAGGCACAACTGTGTACTTTTCTGTGTAGTACACTTTCATGCCTTGAGCTATGCGTAGGCCAAATATATCTCAAAGATAACAGAATACGACTGATATGGTTTTACCCATGATATTACCTAATCATAACACAACATATGACAAGAAGATACTTCAACAATGCCACATTAGCATTACAAAAGCGACAGCAACTACTTTGATACCAAAATAATTATCACTCTGACCACCCGAGACAGCACTGAATCATCCAACTAGCTTTTAGACTGGTGGAATGGTTGTTCCATGAACTAATTAATGCAATTGATGTCAGTGAGATAAAACGAGTGTTTATGCATATATTATTCAATAACATTATCGAGTTGTACTGATGAAAATGTGTAGAGTGGTGTTATAACATGTGCAGAAATAAAATACCTACACGATGTACTGGACCTATTTGACACTACTTTTGTGCTAGTAAAATAATCTGTTACCCCAAGATGTGTGTATTAGGATATAGTTCCCTTGTTTAGTATTCCTACATAACTAAGCAATATTTGAAATTCCCTTGTATTGGAGTATAATTTGGAAGAATAGGGAAAACTGTTTTAACATTTTGACTTATGCATAAGGAGTGGATAACAAAGGATTAAAATCAGTTGATGAACCATTGAAAATCTAGAAGTATTGGATAGCTGTTTTGTCCTGGTATGAGACTCTCCTTACCTGAGGGTTATAGACTCTATTCCCAACAGTACACACTACTGAGGCGGTCTAAGCTGAGAAGAAATGGCTCTTCAGTCCCTTGGGTTTTCAGTAATTCTCTAAAATAATGTCAATCCGTCACTAAAACTCCTTTGAGGTTAGTGGAGCTGTAGCACGTTGGTGTAGGGAGGTGACTTTCAACTGATGGGTCACTTGTTTGAGCCTCACTCTGCCTACCAAGATTTGGGCAGTCAGCTAGTATCACTAACTGTCACACAATAGATGTGGCTCATTGTCTACTGCACTGATGTGTACATGGTTGATGAGTGCATCTCGATCGATTTCGATGAGGTCAGTCAGTCCTTACAAACCACCACTTGAAGGAGTCAATTAATTTGGTGTTGTATGGTATTTTAAAAGAAGCGCTTAAATGTTGTTGAGTAGAAAATGAGATATTGATAGATGTTAACAAATGAATTTTTGTTAATCCAATTTCACTCATGTAGATAATAAATACTAAATGTTACTTCGTTTACTTAACTCTGTTTGTCATTGAGCTTATTAGGAATACACCCAGTGAAAAAGAAACTTTTAACCTTGTTTTAATCGTGTATCAAATGTGTCATCCCTTTTTTGCAATTCGAGACGTTTATCTAGATTACAGATCATATTATTAGGTGTGGATTATTTATTCTCTGCCATTAGAGAATGTTTACATAGTCCATTACCCTACTTACTTCTATTAGTTTCCCCTCTTATTTATTCAAGAATGACCATTCATTCTGTATATGAAGATTTTGTTTAATATGCATACAAATTTCCGAGAATGAATTTATATTGTACGAAGTCAATATACAATTTGAATGTCTCTGGAATATTTAAAACTTTGTTGAACACGACTTTTAATGCTACGAATTCATAGACTAAAATGAATTTGTAGTATTTTGATAAGATAATTTCCGGAGCCTATTATCATCTGTTCATTTGCAATAAGGGTAAGTACACTAAAGAAACCTGACAGTTATTTGGAATCTTTCAAGGTAATTTCACACAATAAACTAATTGTCACTGCTTATGTTATCTATATCCATGAAAAATTAGTGCATTGTGGAGAGAATCAATTTATTATAAACATATTTGTAATGGAAGTTTATTTAATTTTAGTAATATTTCGAGTAAAATAATCACACCAGTTTCTGAAATTGTTTGTTCATGCATTTACGGATAGAATTCATATATGTAGTATTTTTATATTGTAGGTTTGTCACTATTTCCCTCCAGTAATATGTTCCATGTTGTTGACAGTTGTGCTGAGTTACCTTTGTTGCATATGTTACGCATGACTTGTATGAATACGGATTCAGTGAACAATTTTTCCTGTTGATATTCATCATGAACTGACATTAGTTCAAGAGATAGTGGAAACTTGGGAACACTATACAGCTGTTTTGTCCTGTTATGCGACTCCTCAGCAGTGTGGACCTGTGATCCCACCGAGGACCAAAACCAGGACCTTCAGGCTCTATGGCCATCCAGTTACAATTGAACCCCTGGGTTGAAATCCACTCACTGGTCCATATTTCCTACTTCTGTCAATTCACGATATAGTGTGACCTCCATCTAATGCCGTCGTTAAGTGACTGTCCTCATTTTTGACTTGGTTGGCTAATAAGAACAAGTCCATAATGAATACCAATCTGATATCGATAAATCCTCAATGACCTCAAAATTAAATCATTCCTTCTATTTATTCATAATGAAGCTTAAGATGTCACCATTGTTCCAATCAATGTTATATTTTTCATTCCACACATGTGTTGCTATAGGTGCACTCTTTTCCAAATTTCTATTTTCTTATGTCATTATGGGCTGACCTTTAGTTAATCGTATATGTTCATCCAGTCTGATTTTGAGTGATCTCAGGGTTTGACCTACATAGTTAACTGAGCAATTGGCACAAGATACTTTGTACATGACACTGTTTGTGTCTAATTTTTTCTACTGGAACTTTCAGTTGATTTAATTCATTTTTGATGACGTCCATAGACTTAAATGTGGTTCAAATACCTGGTGTTCTGAGATTTCTTTGGATTGACTCAGATGCACCTCTCTTATATGCCAGTACTACAATTCTCTGATATTTCCCTTTCTAATGCCTTTCGATTTTTGTTTTCCGTGTCTTCTTCTTCTTTTTCTTGATATTTTCCCATGTAAATTGTTTACAATCCGGATATGTTGTCAATCCACGTATCCTTATTTACTAGACTTCGTATTAATCCTTATTTTACACTGAATGGATTCGCTGAGTAGTGATTCATAAATCTTCCTGAATGGACAGGTTTTGTGTAGATCGTGATCTTTAGACTGATGGAATCCAGAATCCACGTTTCTTCCTATTTGGGACTCTTTAATTGAACAGACCTGCATCCAAGTGAATGATGGTGTACCCAGTGAAACTCAAACCCAGCACCCATCAATTCAAGTACCTCAAAAGACTACTGAATGTTGCCCTTGCGTTTGATCCAGTGACTCATAGATTGGAGTCCTAGAGGGGGAGATTTCGCCCACTGGGACGGACAAACATCCAGCTATCAGTTCTCAAATAAGATAAAACATGTCTTCTGAATTCCTCTGGAAGCCACCATCAAGCAAATCAAATCCCAATGAATTTTCAGACAACATTAAGGGCCCCACTTCGGAACCCATATGCAGCAGTTACCGACCACTACAATAATTGACGGAAAATCACAAGTATTAATGAAAAAACGCCAAAATATTTCATTTTGGTTGATTTATTAGGAGCATCACACAGTGGGACAGTCTTCTTTACTGTATTAACTTCCGCACATAATTTATTGTCCATAATTATATCAAGATAACTCCCCAACTTTGAGACATGCTTTGTATAGTTCAACTTTTCTCACCTCCTTTACTACATAAGGAAGTAGGATTTTCCATATATCCTGAAAAGCTGCTGAGTCATTTCTGTTGCATGTATTAGGTGTTGATACAACACGACCAACAGAAATCCGGTTATCAATCTCTCCCTTCACCCACCTCACAGCTTAGTTTTAAGGATTTTCACTGCCTCATCCTACTGTGTGGTTGTGCGTAATTGTGCGCTAGCCATGCCCAGCTTTCTTCTACATTCCTCATCTTACTAGGGTTTGTCAATTTCGACCCATCTAGGTTTTTGTACTAGGATAACCTAATTGACCATGGTCGACTACGTTGACCTATCCATTTGACCTCACAATAGCTACAAGACATTCAGTGAACCAAGTTATTCCGCCTTATTGGATCAGTAGGGTCTTTTAACTTACAAAGCTTATTTCTAAGTAAGTTTGTAGGTTTGAGTGCCACTCTAATCCCAATATTATTGAGAATACTACATAATGTTTTTGAGGTGTCTTCTTTGTATGGTAATACTGTAGGGGTTTTGAATTACCTCTTCACAGTATTGTCACTATTATTATCAACATTATTATCACCAATATTAACATCTGTGTTGCTCATATTAATCCTGTTTTTCTTATGATTACTAAGGGACTTATAGATTAATTTAAGAGAGTAATCGTTAATGAGTAAGATGTCCTTAATGTATCTGGTTTCTTGTTTTACATCTTGTGTTTTACTGGTAAGTTTTTTGGCCCTGTTACTTAGACGTTTTACTGAGCTAACTTTAACTGGCATAGGGTGTGACCATTTGAAGTCTAAGTAACGATTCGAGTGTGAAGGTTTTCTATAGACACTAGTGTCAAAACTTCCCATATTATTTCCATTTCATTCTCCGATTAAACATCTCTAATTCTTCTTCATCATTTTTTAATTCACAGGAGAATTGGATTGCACTGACTACCGAATTTGTGTGTGTAGAGATACTATGTGCTGAGATTTCAACATCGTAAACATGTCATCTACAATTCGACTAAATATTTCGACAACTATCCATAAATATGT